AACACATTTAGTACTCCTCACCTTCTTCTGGGTCGTTGGAATCGAAACCAACCTCTTCATAGTCTCTCTCCAAAGCAGCCAAGTCTTCTCTAGCCTCAGTGAATTCACCTTCTTCCATACCTTCACCAACATACCAGTGGACAAATGCTCTCTTGGAGTACATCAAGTCGAACTTCTTGTCAATTCTTCTCCAAGCCTCAGCAATGGCAGTGGTGTTAGAGAGCATACAAACGGCTCTAGAAACAGCAGCAAAGTCAGACTCAGGTGGGACAGTTGGTGGTTGGTAACAGATACCAATCTTGAAACCGGTTGGAATCCAATCAACCAACTGGACAGTCTTCTTAGCCTTGACTTGTGAGACTGCATTTTGGACATCTCTTGTCACAGCATCACCTCTGTAAAGCAAACAGGTTGCCATGTACTTACCAGCTCTTGGATCACACTTGACCATTTGGTTACCTGGTTCGAAACAAGCGTTTGTGATTTCTGCAACAGAGTTTGATTCATGAATAGCTCTCGCACTAGAAACAACTGGGGCGTATCCAACCAATGGGAAATGAATTCTTGGGAATGGAACCAAGTTGGTTTGGAATTCGTTCAAGTCAACGTTCAAAGAACCGTCGAATCTCAAAGAAGCAGTCACTGAGGACACAACCTGAGCAATCAAACTGTTCAATGATGAGAAACTTGGTCTTGAAATATCCAAATTTCTTCTACAGATATCGTAGATGGCTTCGTTATCAACCATGAAGGTACAGTCAGCGTGTTCCAAAGTGGTGTGTGTTGTCAAGACGGTGTTGTATGGCTCAACGACAGAAGTGGACATCTGTGGGCCTGGGTAAACAGCAAATTCCAACTTGGCCTTCTTACCGTATTCCAAACTCAACTGTTCCAACAGGAGAGAACCAAAACCTGAACCTGTACCACCACCAAGGGAATGTGTGAACAAGAAACCTTGCAAACCGTCACACTGATCTGCCATTCTTCTAATTCTCTCCAAGACATCGTCTAGTAAGTCTCTACCAACGGTGTAGTGACCTCTAGCGTAGTTGTTTGCAGCATCCTCCTTACCGGTGATCAACTGTTCTGGGTGAAACAAGTCCTTGTACTTACCAGTTCTCACCTCGTCAACGACATTTGGCTCCAAATCAACATACAAAGCTCTTGGCACGTACTTACCAGATCCAGTTTCAGAGAAGAAAGTGGAGAAACCTTCCTCACCGCCTTTTGGTCTAGTCAATCCTTCTTTCAAGTAACCATCCGGTTGGATACCGTGTTCGAGAGAATACAACTCCCAACAACTGTTACCAATTTGACAACCAGCCTGACCGACTGTCTATGCTGTTAGTATCGACTCCACGTAGCCACTACCGGTGATCATACCGCCCCACTGCCAGTGTGACACTCACGCTCTTCCTTCAAGAAACGCGTGTTTATGAAACAAACAACATCATGAAACATTTCAATGACAGAGGTAAACACACCACACCACACGCGCTTCGAGGAATACATCCACGCGTTGGCACAAGACTGACTAAGACATACCGTTAACACTAATAACTTCTCTCATTGCGTATCGCTTCCAGTTCTTTTGATGTGAAAGTTCGTTTGCTTTGCCTTCGAAGAATGTAAACAAATCGCCTTTTTTTCCCTTTTCTCTCCTTCAGAAAACTTTTGAGAGATCACAAAAGCGCTATGAGAAGGGAAAAAACATTGGAAACGAGCGGGCGGCTAATGGGAAGGCACGAAAATTACTTCTTTGGGCGGAATGTTTATGGGTTTCCGCATTGGGCTGTTTACGTGATGTGTTGCCAGGGCAACACATTAGACATCTACAAGATTCGAATTATATATATGGAACAAGCCGATGGAAAGACACACATCGAAACGATCAACAGGTTATGTAACCAGCTGGTGTTGTTCTTTTGTTGAAGGGGTGGTGATGCACGCCCATGGCGAGCCATTCTATGATACCAGGAAGGAACCCGTCTCGTACATCTCCGTCAAGAACGAACAGGCAATATCAAACAGTTTCCTGTGTCTCTTGTGGGAGTAGTAGATGATGACTTTCTTTGTGAAGATGTTCAGCCCGACAAGCAACGACGACTCACATGGCTGGAGCTGGAAAACTTCCAGCTGTTGCCGGGAAAAGTGTTTGAACTTGGAAGGTCTCATATCGGCCCTCGAGTCCTGGAAACACGAAAAGTACATGAAGTACACTTTGTCCTTGTACGTGCTTCGAGAGTAGTGCCACTTGTAGCCAGTAGCAGCGGTGATTGGCTGGATGATTTTCGCATTGACCTCCCGCCTAATGGACTTGAAACCTCGAACCAGGTCGTCTTTGGAAAGGGTAAAGTGCGCAGGGTGCTCTTTTTCCAGGATATCTGGGGGATACGGATAAGAGAGCGTCGTTGGACTCTGTGGAGTCTGCTCGTTCTTGTACGTGATGTTGACGGAGTTTCCAGTCGCATTGACCAGCCTGGACTCCAACAGCAGACACTGTCTTTCACAATCAATCGGGTTCATGTAGAACGTTGTGCTCGACGCGTAGTCCTGAACCTCCCGGTAAAGCCCATTAAGATCAGGAGACATGATTTCAAACGAGCTGCCCTTCAAGTGCCCTAGCTTGTAGTGGAGGAAGAGCGCATTACCTTCGTACTGTTGCGGCTCATCTGTGTCCAGGTCCTTAAGCTTCGACACAAACTGTTCAAATCGTCGAAGCTCATCAGCAGCCTCTATGTCTTTCCTGCCCGGGACGTTCTCAGAGATCTCGCCGGTGAACAGCGTATCCATCAGCGGTGCAATAGTCGATCTTGGCCCCATATACACTCGGTGACGCTAAAGTAGGCTTGAGGCATCTGTGCGAAGTGCGTTCGTCGAGAACTCAGGTTGGAGATTTGGGATGGCCGAAAATTACCAACGCTTCGCTCAAAATCCACTTCACACACACACCAGAATCAGTAGCAGTTGGCGAGAAAGAGCCATCACAACGCATGGCCATGGCAATTGAGACCTTATACAGAGGCAGTGTGAGTGGTGTGTGGCAGTGAGGAACACTACGAGAAGACTACACTCTCCCATGGCTAAAACTGAGCAAGCGGCTTACGCCGGGAGTTCCAAGGCCCCATGAAGGGCCCCTGGCTCTCAGTGCTCACTTCAATCGACACAACAGGGGTTCCAACTGTGCTGGTGTCTGCACCAGAGGACACACTGACCACATGGGACTCGATAGGAGCGTTACATGGGGCCTCTCAACCTGTTAATCCTAGCTGGAACCAACCATATTGTACTGTTTCTACGCTGTTTCTACAAATGGGTTAAACTCCGGACGCTCACGTGAGAATCACGTGGATATCACGTGACAGTTTCGCCCCCGCTGAAAAAAGAAAGAAAAGGCCTCTGCACAAGACGCCACAGATCTCTGGGATGATAAGCCCGTGCTTGGTGATATTTACAGCGTTGAGATCTTTCCAGATCACTCTCCCGTTATACACACACCATCAGAGTGAAGGACTAGCCCTAACACAGAAGTAAGAGCCGAAGATGATCGTGTCAAGCGTGTGGACGCTGATGGCGCTGTTCACAGTGCTGGCTGTCCTGTGGCGTAGCCCCTACTACGAACAGTCTTACGAGCTCACGCAGATGACAAATTACGCTGTGATATCACAGGACCGAGGCATAGATCTCAGCAAGCTGGTGCGCCAGCCGTCGCTGACGCCCGACGGAAGACATGTGCACACGACGATGAAGGGCTCTGTAGCGTGCGATGTGCCGGTATGCTCGCAGCTTGGTGTTGATATTCTTGAGAAGGGAGGGAACAGTGCGGATGCCGCAGTGACAGTGGCGCTGTGCGTAGGAGGCATCAACATGTTCAACTCTGGTATCGGTGGCGGTGGCTACTTCGTTGCGAAGAAGTACGACGAGGAGGAGGCCATCGCTATCGACGCCAGGGAGGCAGCTCCGCTGGCCAGCGACAAGTACATGTTCAAAGGCCGTGAGCATTTGTCCAAGGTTGGAGGGCTGGCTGCTGGAATACCTGGGGAGATCAAGGGGCTCTACACGTTGTTCGAGCTCCAGGGCTCTGGGAACTTGAGCTGGGGCGATGTGGTGATGCCGGTGGTTGAACTGTTGAGAGGTGGCTGGAACGCGTCGGTTGTATTGGCTGCCGTTGTGGAAGCTGATAAGAAAGTGTTGCTCGCTAACCGTGAAGATTACTACTTCCTCTTCAAGGGAAACACAACAGACCAAGTTATTGAATTGAACGACCTGGTGAGACATGTGGAACTTGCAAACACCTTAGAACTCATTGCTAATAATGGAAGCGATGCGATATTCTACGATCCACAGGGACCTATCGCTTCAAACTTGATCAAGACTGCAAACGAACACGGTGGAATCTTCTCCGATGATGACTTCTCAGGGTACTCAGTTGATGTTCGTCCTGCTATAAAGACCAGGTTCTTGAACAATGACGTTTTCACTGCGGGAGGATCAAGTTCTGGACCAGCTCTAGTCCATGCTTTGAACATTATGGATCGTTTTGGCGAGCATGTCGGTGGTGATATGGATCCCTTGGCTACCCATCGGCTAGTGGAAGCGATGAAATGGGCAGCAAGCTCCAGAAGTAGGTTGGGAGACCCAGACACCAACTTAACAGATTTTGTCATTGGCAAGGAGTGGACTCAGTACGCCATAGACCACTGGAATGACTCCCATACACTTGCTCATTGGATGGATTACAAGCCGGAGTATGAATTAAATCAGCCACATGGAACAACATCTTTTGCCATTGTCGATAAAGACCATAACAGTGTTGCTGTCACTTCGACAATCAACCTTCTTTTTGGATCATTGGTGCGTGACAAGGTCACGGGTGTCATATTGAACAATGAAATGGATGACTTCTCAACACCGGGAGTTCCAAATTCATTTGGTGTGGAACCATCCATTCACAACTTCATTAGACCTAAAAAGAGACCCCTTTCATCGAGCGTACCTACAATCATCGTCAACGAATTGGGGAAACCAGACCTTGTTATTGCATCTGCTGGAGGATCCAGAATATTAACAGCTGTTTTGCAAGCCATTGTACGTGTCTACAGTTATCATATGCCACTGCTAGAGGCCATAGCATACCCTAGAATACACCATCAACTCATGCCTGACCACATCGAACATGAGGACTTTATTGGTAGTGATATTATTGAGGCTTTGAAAGAAAAGGGCCATTCAATGGTGAGATCGGAACCCAAGACTGCAATGAATGCCATTAGAAGGTGGCAAGGAGACTACCTTGCGGTTTCAGACTTTTGGAGGAAACGAGCAGAAGCTGCTGCTCAGAAGAATGACAGCTGATCAACACAGCACATAGATGGAGAACTTGGATAGTTCAGTTAGAATGCATGTATACGAAATAAGCACGACAAGGGTATTCTTTCTAACTAAATATTGTTTATTACATTTGATTAAGGAATGGCTATATGCTCGACAATTTGCAAACCGAATCATGGACCTTAGCATTTGCAAGGAATTTTGCTTTAAATGAACGCCCCAAGAACCAAGACAAATGTAGTACCTATCATACCCAATATGACTCCTCTGTTTTGAAGGTCATGGTTACCGAGAGCACCAGCAACACTCGAGCTTTCAGCATCTGTAGAAGTAGGAACATCCTCAGTTGTGCTGTTCAGTTGACGACCAGTATAGATGAGACCGCTTGTGTACACTGCCGTTTGCTCAAATACACTCTCAGTGATGATCGTATTATATGAAAGAGTCAAATCAGTGTCTGTGATGTTATTTGTAACAGCAAACGGTATATAACCGGAGCGAATGACGCTGGCATTTGCATCTAGAGTATACGTTGAGTCCACTGACTGCGAACTGACGGTTTCACCTAATATGGAACTCAGAAGACGAGCATTTCTCTGCTGGTACTCTTCGTTATAAGCTTGTGCCATTGCGATTTTGTTACCTTCATTATCGACTGCTATGAACATCGAATTCAAGACTGGTGTACCCAACACCGAATAACCGTAACTATCATCAGGGAAGACACGAAGAACACACGCATCTGAGCCATCCTCGAACTTTACTGAGGTACCATTCGAATCGTACAGTGGCTTTATGAGTTGATCCACAGAGACATCAATGGTGAGATTTCCAAACTCGAAGCTAACAGCTGCATTGACACTACCAACGGCACATCTCACAAACCATGACTCTGACGATTCAGAATAGAATGCATTCAATTGAACTGAAAGCGCCACAACATAAGAATATGGAAGGACCAGGAATGGGGTACGTGAATCTAACAGCACTGGCAGGACAGTTCCATTTGAGACAATCACAGAGGAGCCCTTATCGTTACTCACAGAAACTTGTGAAAGAGGGACGATTGGATACTGGTAAGCCACTTCTGCGCCTGTGTACGCATAAGGCAAGTTATCATATTGAACAAGCACACCAGTGTATAAACTCTGATCCACTGCACCGAACACTATATGACCGGTGGTATTTGTGACGGTTGCCATTGAGTAACTTAGCGATTCAATGAGCCCCAAATCCTTAAGCGTGGATAGAATGCTTGGTTTGTAGTTGCTATCGCCAACACCACCAAGACCAAATGCACCAACGACAACATTTGAATTGTTGACGCTGAAGAACTCCATCTCGGAGAGCGAAAGAGTTCCATCGTTGAGATACTCGTTGTCTTCACCGGAAATGTCCAGTATATCAACGTAGTCTGAGAATAACGTTCCGTTGAAAGAAACGTAGTCGATTAAAACAGGGTTATAGTAAAGTCCCAAGTCTGTTGATCTATTCGAAAGACTTGGGTCATATGCACCGGAGTCTTGACATGTGACAGTATATGTCAGTGTTGTTGCCGAGGAGGACTCAATGAAAGTCGTTGATGTCAGCTCTGGTTCATCAGAACAGCTTGGGAACGAGTCGCTGTCTAGCACCCACAGATTCGGCTGTGCTATATCCACCCGAAGTGACTGCAACTGTTCACCAACCTCGGCTTGTATGTGCCATACAATAGAGTCCTCTGACTTGGACATGGTCAGTGTCATGAAGGAGTCAACATTGGCAGCGGAGACAGACGAAGACGACGACGACGGCGACGCAGAGGGTGTTGATGATCTCGAGCCTGAGCCCGACGACGATCCTTGCGAGGAAGACTGTGCGAGTGAACCAGCGCAGAGTAGCGCAAGATACGACAAGAACTTCATTGTGTCGTGCTGTTAGCGGCTTTGTTTACTTTTGTCTTGCTTTGCCTCGAATCTCTATTCCCTTTCCTTATACGAGGCGCCTGTTTACTTTCGTGCTATAAGGCCAACACACAGTGTGACACTAGACGTCGAAGTACCCCTTGAACGAACGGAATTGGTGGTAATGGCCCACTTCAGCTAGTACGCAGCAGCAAAAGGCGAGTCGAGCTTGCTGAGACGGACAAAAACTCACGCTGCTGGGAAACGGAAACACAGAACGAGGGTTTCGAGCACGAGGAATCAGACCAACAGGTGTAAACTTCTCAACAGTCCTATGAACAAACGGCGTGCAAACTTCGTGAAGGTTCGTGAAGGTTCGTGAAACTGCGTTTATGGGTTAGGCTCTAGAGACCAGCTCTTCTCAAAATTTCAGCAGCCCTGAGTGGTAAATTTTTTCCCTCTTCAACTTTTGGTGAACAGGTTCAAAATAAAATTTAGTTCGAAAGGCTCAGCAGAGGATGTCCCAGGCCGAAATAAAGACAACAACGGAAAGGCGTATAAAATTCCGCGCGAGCGCTTTCTATGGACATTTTGTCCTTTTTTATGCGGTAGGAGCGCCCGGCAGTTTGCGAGGCACAAAATGTGTGGGCCGGCTTCTCAAAAACCGCACTCACTTGCAGGAGCTATGACGCAATCACACGTCGTGCTCCTCTTTGGACGTGCATGGTTGTCTCCGTTTCCGTCGAGGGCTTCTTCACAGAGATTGCAACTCGTTGAATGAGTGTATACATGAGGAGCGCTCTGTGTGGCAGTCTGTAGTTATGCAGTGGTGATTCAGGCTGAGGCAGGGACACCGTGGTTGTGTTTGTATTGTGTGGAGGAAAGAGGGTTTTAGTGTTGGTCGAAGACTGTAGGAGGCCACAGGAGGTTGTGGGAGATTATTAGGTGGCTATAGATGTAGAGTGGCATCGTTTCTACAGGGTTCATGTATCTGCCTGCTCCTGGTCTTTGGACGATGTTGGACATATGGATGTCCTCTGCGACACGGCCAGCTATATTATTTATACGCTTGCCACGGGCAGACATATGGGGGGGGGGGGGGAGATGGCACGTCTCCGTAGCCCAAACTGTGTGTCCCTTTGCGTCCAGGACATTCATGCTCTTTGAGAGATTGTTTTGCTGGTTCGTCATTCCTTTCACGTTGATTGTAGGGTTGACTGGGCCAGTGAGGGAGCTGTAGAGTGTGTGAGCAGCTCCTTCCAGCGAGGCACTGGAATAAACAGCTAAGTTTCTCCCGATGCGCTTTGGCCGAATATGATACGCATAACCCAAGGAGGCTACGTCTGCGGCCGAAGATCCCACCACGGAGCAGACTGTACAAGAGCTGGTTGTCCTCTGTAATGACAGGGCGTTCCTTCCAGCTTTATACCAAATAGCCAATTCGCAAAGTGTATATCAGTACCGAAGAAGATACGGTTCCACGACTCAGCCGGCAAATCAGCATAGACACCACATGCACGATAATAACAGTGCATGTGCATACCATGACATGTTGTAGTAGTGCGCTCAAAGCCTCAAAGGCCCGAGGTAGTCATTAATACGTATACAACGAGCCGTTAAAAATAGGATGTGTATTCAAACGAAAGGTATGCGGAATGCTCTATTGGTGAGGGGCTGAACAAGGCACTGGGAAACGTTTGAATAGCTCTTGCTGAGAGACACAAGAAGTACTTAGCAATACAAGTATGTTGGTGTAGGCCACAACTGGTTGAAGCTCAACTGGGCTTTACGGCATTATAAAGGCTAAATAGGTAGTGCTTGCCATGTACAGTGCTAGTTCACAGTAGAAATACTACATGGTGACGTCAAGTTTGCCGCGGAACTGACTATATAGCTGAGTAGAATCTGAACAGAGCAGATGTTCTCGTAGCATTCCACCTAAAGCTCGGTGCGACAATAGGCTTCTGTCTCGATAATGAAGAAATCAAGCGATCAACATGCTCAAAGAAATACATTGCAATAGTAATCTTTGCCTGGATCAAGACTCAATGTCATCTTCTTGTAGATTTCGCTCTCTTTGTATTGCTTGAAGCCGTATTTCGGTGTGTTACCTTTTCCACTGCTTGGCTCCAAGTTGAGGTGGACATCTGCTACAAACTGAAAGAGGGGCGTACGCCAGCTGAGCAAGAATGCTGTATTGTGCGTGCGAACTTATCCTCAGTATGTTGATCAAGACTCTTGAAAAGTGGTTTAGCACTTTGAACAGAATTCAATCCACCATTTCGGCACATGCTTTGTTGATATCAGCAATGTCATCGAGTAGGTGTTTGAACTGCGTATGGTAACTTGGTGCCGTTTGCTGAACGTTGAAGCAGACTGAACTTTCTCATTAGCTCGAGATGTTCGTCCGAACCATGTAGTTATAGCTCTTGTCACTGTAAAGGTAACGCATACCTTATCAATATGACTGGAATTCAAAAGGCATTCTTTACGAATATATAATTCAACCGTGAAGGTTACGTGGAATTCGCAACCAAAGACCTATGGCATGTAATTGACACTTACATGGTGTAGGAAACATGCCAAATAATCGAATTCAAACGTTCTAGTTGGCCATGAATAATGTTACTGATATGGAAGATCGAATTCAAATGCGCTTGTAGTACTGACATCTGTAGTACTATGTCAATTGAATAAGTCAAAGCGGTGGCCTGAAAAGAACAATAGCTTCTTGACATAGCTTTTGCTGTATGAAACAGTATACAATACACATCATCAGCGCATAAACTATAGACCCCTAAAGAGTCTTTTTTCCAATGTACGCTTGAAGCTAATAGTACTACAAAGGCCAAATGAAATCACCAGGATTAGCGTAGTTGTATTTATCGTATGTGGTCTAAAGCCAGATACATATGATCCTGTATCTATCACAATGAGGGCGACTAATCAAGTTCACGTCATATCCCTTTTTTTACCAGCTCTCCCGGGAGAAAACTGGTGGTCATTATCAATGGGTCTTTTCAAAGGAGATAGAGGTACAGAACAACGTGCAGTACAGGAGCCAGTGTTCTTCACCACAGACAATCTTCTATTCAGAGGCTGCTGTGTTTGTTGATTCTCTGACTGTTGCTGTGTTTGATTCTGATTCTTACTCTGACTGTGGTCCTGCAGCAGCGATGATGCCTCGTTTGATGAAGTCGAGTCAAGATGAGAGTTTTGTAGTTTCACCAGTAGCTCCTTTATACACAGCAGGTACTCGCTATCGCTTAGTGTATCAGGCTCTGTCTTTATCATGCTGTTCATTCTCTGCTGTTGCGCTTCATCGGCAATCAACTCCGGGCTCAATTGATAGTGTATCTTGGTTTGCTGTAACTGTGGATCGTCATGTTGAGTATCCGTTCCTATCAATGAAATCATTCGGCTATAGTATAAGTCTAAAATTGTGTAACCAGCTTGAGGAAGCCGTTCTGGATGCTCGGAATCGAAGTCAAGTTGCTGCTGCTGTTGTTGTGGTGTTAAATCGTGATCTTGACCTGATATGCTGTTATTATGCTGCAACTGCTGTAGTTTCTTACTATCTTCTAATGTATCGATGCTGTTCTTCCTCTCAGCACTGCAATGGTCTTCACGAATGCACTTTTGAATATTACACTGCCGTGGAAGTATTCTGTACTTCACCTTCGTCAAGAATTCCCTCTCCAAAATGTCCAATTCATTGGCGTGGATACCTCCAACTTTTGCATAATGCTCATTTGTGCAGAAGGAGTCGCACAATCCTTTTGATCCAACTGTGGTTGCCGTTAATAGGAATCTATGTACCGTTAGTGAATTCAGCGAGAAGGACGGGTACACCGTACTCAGAAGGTCAATATAGTAAACAGCGCTCAGCAGCACGGCATTTTCCAGACTTGAATACCTGGCCAGTCTCGCAAGGTAGCTATACACGGATATGCTTGGTGGTGTTCTTGAATGGAATCTGGTCAAATGCGAGGACAAGACGTGAGATGAAGACTGGATTGTGCCCGTGGTCCTTGGACTTGCAGACGGATCCACATATGTGTCGTTTATATCAATCAAAGAGTTGAGCATCCGAGCAATCAGCACAATTAGGTCATCTCTCGGACAGCATATAAACCTCACGGGTAGTAACTTCACTTTCACCTTTTCAGCTGAGTCCATCGTGATAGGATTTCCAGCAACAATGAGATTCTAATGCAAATGAGTGGGGCGTTTTATCTTACGCTATGTTATCTTGTAGCCCGTTTTCGCTGCTGTCAGCCGAGCTCTGTGTGTGGAATGTGACTGTGACTGTTTATGTGTGCCTGGCCGAGTGCCTGTCTGTGCACGTGTGGGATGGCCCTTTCCTTTTTTTCCCCTGCGAGCGTTGCTTTGTTTAGGCGGACTCCCCTTCACCTCACTTTGGATGAAAAATAAAACACACAGCGCTGGCGATATTGATCTTCGAACCAGACCAATTGGAGGAATCTGAAGCAGTGGGATGCGCCAGAGCCGACCGTGATTTGTTGTATGTAAGGATGTGCCTGTTCTAGCCCTCTTCAGCAGACGAGAGTACCAGAGAGGTTATTGATGTGTTGTATTATTGTTTCGAGCCTGTCTTTGTTTCCGAAAGTCCACACAGTGCTGCTCTTCTGGCCCAGAAAAAAAAGAACACAGGAAAAACCGAAAAAACGGGAGTGCTTCTCTCTTAGTGATCTTCGTTCTCTTTAGTATCAAGCGTTGGACTGTAGTGTAGTGTAGTTTAGTGAATAGTTGTGGTCTCAATCTCAGTTGGATGCCATCAACATTGTACTCTTGATGAGTAATAAACTGCACTATTATTCGGCTCAGGCTTATCGACGCTACAACAAGAGAAGTAAGATTGACGGGGAAGGTTTTCCAAGATCGATGAAGTTTGCTGTGTGCATCGCGAAACGTTTTTGGACAGGGACGCTTGTTTGAGCGAAATGGGAAATTGTTCGAGGGAGAGAGGTTTAGCGGGAGCAGCCGCTGGAGCAGCCGCCGGCGTTGCTGCCTAGGCAGGAGAGTTCTGCCTACATTTGCACCCGCTGAAAAATTCAACCCTTCTGGCGCCTACTGGGCCTTCCGTCTACACAGATTGTAGCCCTCCCCCTACGGCCAAAGGAGCACCGCCCAGGGACCCACGGCTGAAGCCACACGTTTCATCAGTTGGCGATCCAACACTATCAACACCTCAAACTTCAACAATTGTTGATAGTGATGATCTTTGCGGGTGTTGTGGCTAGATGGTGGGGGTAGACTTCACCATTAATGAGGCCCTTCATGCACACGGCACGAGGAATCGGGACGCCATCTCATGTAATCCATTTATGTACCTGTCTCGTACCTCTCCTCTAGTGAAACTAATGCCAGAGCCTGTATCTGGTTGCGAACAGATCTACTTCTGGTCTTGTCTGGGCATTTGCGTCTGGCCGCCAGGGCAAGATAATGAACATCGACGAAGGTCTACAAGGGTGGGTGATGTAGTCATGCTTTGCTCACAAGCCTTACTATAGTTATTATACGTAAACAGAGCTAAAAACACACACAAACCTAAAAAGGATAAGAAACGCCGTAGTGAGAACGGCACCTCTAGCATGCACATCCTTGGTTTTCACTCTCGAGGTTGATGTTTATAGCGTCGTTGAATTCGTCTTGGAACTCGTCGTTCTCCTCCTGTTGTAAAGCGTTGCGGGCAATCACATCGAAAGCCTGGTCGATATTGACAGCTTCTTTGGCACTGGTTTGGAATAGCGGTAAGTTGCCCAGGTTGGCGCAGAACTGCTGTGCCTTCTTGAGACTCACAAGCTTCTTGGACTCATCAACGTCAATCTTGTTGCCAATAACAACAAATGGGAAGTTCTCAGGGTTCTTGACGTTGGCTTGTACCAAAAACTCATCTCTCCAAAGCGAGACGTTTTCAAAGGACTTTGGATTGGTAACGTCGTAAACCAATACGCAACAATCAGCGCCTCTGTAGAACGCAACACCGAGGGACTGGAACCTTTCCTGTCCCGCAGTATCCCACAATTGCATCGTCACAGTCTTATCATCCAACACGAGCTCCTTCATCAGGAAATCGGCACCAATTGTGGCCTTGTACTGTTGAGAGAACTTACCATTGACAAACTGTTGCATCAGAGACGTCTTGCCAACACCAGAGTCTCCGAGGATGATAACTTTCAAAAGAGTCTTCTTTCTAGACGACATCGTATTATATGTGCGTGTGTGTGACTGTGTGCGTTGTAGATAGTGTTATGTCAGATTCACCTTCGAATTATTTATCCAAATGTTGGGAATGCAAACAGTATGATAAGAGAAAGGAAAGATGAACAATACACCAGGGGGAAAGGGAAGCGGGGCTGTAGTATCGAAAAAGAGAAAAACCCTAGCGTTAAACCGTCAAACAAGCCAAAGAATATATGATCGTATATCCGACAACAGCGACTTCCAAGCTATAAAGCGATTTAGGTAGTTCTTCTGGTACCAAATTGTTGTTTGAATATCTTCCTTGACCAAATATTTATATATTTTTTATCCACTGCTCGTTGCTCCCTAAAAATTTCTTTTTACGGCCACAAAAACAAGACGCAAGTAGAATTCGCGGAACAAACTACAAATGTAATGCTCTTCAGATCTCATACAAAACATCGATTTATGAACGAATTATAAGCAATTTTTTATAACGAGAAGTGAAAAAGGTCATATTCACAATTCATTGTAATAAAATAGTCAAGCTTGAAGTGAGATTGATTAATCAACTTACTTCTTAGCAGCCTTTTGAGCAGCCTTGGTGACCTTACCAGCCTTGTCAGACTTCTCAACGGACTTGATGACACCGACAGCAACGGTTTGTCTCATGTCTCTAACGGCGAAACGACCCAATGGTGGGTACTCAGTGAAAGCCTCAACACACATTGGCTTGGTTGGGACAAACTTGACGATAGCAGCATCACCAGACTTGATGAACTTTGGGTTGGACTCAAGAGACTTACCGGAACGTCTGTCAATCTTCTCCAAGATCTCGTCGAACTTACAAGCAATGTGAGCGGTGTGACAGTCCAAAACTGGAGAGTAACCAGCAGAGATTTGACCTGGGTGGTTCAAGACGATAACTTGAGCGTTGAAAGAGTCAGCACCCTTTGGTGGATCGTTCTTGGAGTCACCAGCAACGTTACCTCTTCTGATCTCCTTAACAGAGACGTTCTTAACGTTGAAACCAACGTTGTCACCTGGGACACCCTCAGCCAATTGCTCGTGGTGCATCTCGACGGACTTGACTTCAGTGGTGACACCGGATGGAGCAAAGGTAACAACCATACCTGGCTTGATGACACCGGTCTCGACTCTACCGACTGGCACAGTTCCGATACCACCAATCTTGTAGACATCTTGCAATGGCAATCTCAATGGCTTGTCAGTTGGTCTTGATGGTGGCTCAATGGCATCAATGGCCTCCAACAAGGTCTTACCCTTGACGACACCAGCCTTGGTCTCCTTCTCCCAACCCTTGTACCATGGACAGTTGGTGGAAGCCTCAATCATGTTGTCACCGTTCCAACCAGAGATTGGGACGAATGGAACAGTCTTTGGGTTGTAACCAACCTTCTTGATGAAGTTGGAGGTCTCCTTGACAATCTCAGTGAATCTGGACTCGTCCCACTTGACGGAGTCCATCTTGTTGATAGCAACAATCAATTGTCTGACACCCAAGGTGAAAGCCAACAAAGCGTGCTCTCTGGTTTGACCATCCTTGGAGATACCAGCCTCGAACTCACCGACACCACCAGCAATAATCAAGATAGCACAGTCAGCTTGGGAAGTACCAGTAATCATGTTCTTGATGAAATCTCTGTGACCTGGAGCATCAATAACGGTAACGTGGTACTTTGGAGTCTCGAACTTCCACAAAGCGATATCAATGGTGATACCTCTTTCTCTCTCAGCTTTAAGCTTGTCCAAAACCCAAGCGTACTTGAAAGAACCCTTACCAAGCTCGGCAGCCTCCTTCTCGAACTTCTCGATAGTTCTCTTGTCGATACCACCACACTTGTAGATCAAGTGACCAGTGGTGGTAGACTTACCAGAATCGACGTGACCAATGACAACAACGTTAACGTGAGCCTTTTCCTTACCCTGTAAAATTTTAATTTGTGGTTAGTCGGTGGCCTTTAGAAGATCCAAAGGGAGCTCATGATCCAAATATCCATGACAGCAAAGACATTCCAGTCTGATGTAAAATCAAACCTGAACACCGTTATAACGTCACCAGATATTCAAAAGGATACACTGAGCTGTCCTTTAACATGACTTTAACTTACCATTTTGATTAAATTTGATAGATACTGAATTCAAAAGGGAACAGGAGGAAGGAGAAGAGAAGATGACTTGAAAATTTTTTTTAAAAAAGATCACCATAGGCACGGCCAGGTCATACAGAAAAGGGTGTGGCGCAAACCAGAAAAGCCCAAAAAAACAGACACACACAGCAACCGCGTGGCAAAAGGACAACAAAACAGAAAAAAAGTCAATTCGCGGGGGTTTTCGTAGGCAGCAGCACAATTTCGCTGACTTTTGCCTAATTGGGCTGAAAAATTCACAGTGGGAATTGCCACTCTGTGTTTGGGACATTAGGGCTTTGGAGGTGGAAAGGATACGTCACGTGATATTCAATTTGTGGGAGCCCTAATGAGGTTGTTCTGCATTTCGTCAAAAGTTGTTTATTCTTGCAAGCAATAACGATATTTATAAAGGTGTTTGTTTCTTGTGATTGTCTTATATAGTGTGTATTTGAAGGTTGTGCACAGAAGTGAATGGAATTTCAATCTTCTTGTACATCCAAAGAGTCAATCAGATTGTTCTGGTCTTCAATGAATCCAAATCTATCACTATTGCTGTCTAGTCTTATGGAATCATGTCTATCTGGCCACTGTGTTTATAATTAGTGATCAAGTTCATTTGTAAAGAAGAGGAAAAAAGCAGTAAGAGAAAACAGTTAAGTAGAGCAACTCATCAGGACCTCAGGCTACAGCACGGTAAAGTACGCGTGGCGAGCGAAAGAAAGAACGAGTCGATGAGTGTGCTGCTATTTAATGTAGTTATTCTTGGAGATGACTTACCTGACCTGTCAGTGCGGATGACACCTTGTTACCCAGGTTATATGTTGGAAGCTGTTTCCAACCACGACGGTTGGTGACAAATCTTTTGTACAAGAATCCACCACTGGTGTAAACAAACAACGCTGCAAGGAAGATCAAAGCAAAGATCCATATCACACCGAGACCTTCGTCCTTATGGGCAGTTGGACATGCATGGACAGTATGTACGTCAAAGAAATAATCACAATCATGGAGGACACCGACAAAAGAGATCTGTGCCTTTTGAAGGATCTCTCTATCACATGTAAAGGTCAAAATGGTGGATTTCCTATCAATTCCGTTTGGACAATAACTTCCATTGTTATAGGTGATAGTCAATTTCTTACCTCTGAACATAGGCGTAGTTGAGAATTCCCCAATGGAAACTTTGCGTCCATCTTCTTCCACATAATAACCTCCAACATCGCTTGAGTTTAATCCGGTTTTAGAATTCTCCTTCATACTGACATCAACGTTGGATTTCAAGGGCGAAGAGCATATACCAAGCGTGAAATTTCTGTGATAGTCATAACCCCTTGCACCCCATGCAGCTATGTTCTCTTTCCCCAGAGAACTCAATCCACTAAGATCAAAGAACCCATTCGTCGAGGGATGTGTGGCAGCGCAGAAAGGAATCTTCTCCTCATCAGGCGTTGAATCATTCACATCACTCTCTTTTGGTTTGTCCTCCGACTTAGTATCACTTGACAAAGTACCATGCACAAACTCAGCTGCATCAAACCTCTTTCGAAGCGATTCAAGAGTCGTAGCTGATACAAGTTGATACACCGTTATCAAGTACAGTACAATATGCTGGTGTTTCATAATGAGTAAGAGAACTATGATGCGGTTACTCTCCTTTCTTTTCAAACCAAATGTATATCTATGACAAGGAACAGACTCAACGGAAAGTGGGCGCTTGTACAGCAGTGTCGAGAACAGAAGTATATGATAAGCGTTATATCCGTACAAAACAAAAGTGATACGCTGTACTTATCGAGGGGTCTAAACCATAAGAAAATCAACCGTTTCACGCTGCGCGCTAGCTTTAAGGACCACAAGTGTAGGAATTTTTGCGGAACACAAATGCGAGATCCGGTGCACAGAAGCGAACACCGGGGGTTATTTGTTTACTTTTTCGTATCGCTCTGCTAAAATTGCTTTTGTGTCAAGTGTTTGAGCCCATTAATAAAGAAACGACAATGGCGGCAATGGAGGAATCACAAATGTTGTATCTAAGATCAGTTCTCTCTCTCTCTTGTGGGATTCGTGCCAGGCTTCATTAACACAGTGGTACACAATGACAGACGCCGTTGAGCTTCTCGTGAATGAGGACTTGTTCGACTTCGGAGGAGGAGTATCTACAGATTTCAAGCTTTCGACTTACCAAACTGTTATAGAACAAGGGCTTAGGTCAGACACAATATCTCCAGAATGCAAGTCGAAACCTCAAGGTGAGGATCTTGAAGAGAGTATGCTTGCGGATGAATCAAGGATGCTGACAGTGGTGGACAAAACAGATGGCGATGGTACAGATGTAAAGCTGCAAAGCGATTCACTTGATGTCTTGACGCTTCCACGAATCTATGACCAGGAGCTCATGGCTCACTTGGACGTAGTTGATGACCCAGATTCTGCTATTGAAGATGACGAGGGCTACTCTCATGGGTCCACAATTGACCGGGATCGAACTTATCAGGTGTTCTTGAATGATGCTGCTGAGTCTTCACAGATTCAAAGACGAGGCATCTTTCCAAAACCCAAGTACTTGGAACTAGATACACTGAAGGTATCTGTTGACAGAAATGGGCTGTTCTCAGCATCTAGTGGGAAGCGGCTGATCGATTCCTTGAACTCGTCATTCAATTTTCCTAGAAGAATTATGAGTGCCGACGCTATGGGTACGAGTCTGAATGATGGTGATGATACACTGGAGCTCGGCAGCAGAATTAGCCTAGAAGATGCGCCAGTGAACCGTGGTGTGAAACTTATCACCTCCGGAAGTTCTATCGAACAAAGCATTTGCAAGAGGTCTTTAACAAGACATCCACTGGAGTCTGTATTCGAAACCTCAAAAGTTGTCAACGCTGTTGAAGAGTATGACCACAATAAGGCAAAGACGAACAGACGCTCAAAGGAAGCCACCATTAACCATAATGACTTTGGACAACTCGAAACTGGACAACTTGAATTATTATTCCACATTGAATCCCCAAAACAAATTGTTACAAGAAAATACACTGTAAATGGCACTGGAAACGCTACTAACGGCGAATGCGACATGCAGGGGCTTGTCTCACTATATGCAAAAGATCTTCAAAAAGGATCTCCAGAAAGACAGAACCAGAGCCTGGTAACTGATGACTCTCTTAATCACCTTAACATATACCAAGAGAACCCTGAGCGTTGGGGCAATACATTGACATCGGCCTTTGAACTTAACGATGATATCCTTTGTGATATTAAGTTTGAACAAGCAAATATTTGCTCTCTGTTGAGCGCACTTGATTCTGTATCTGAAGATAACAGTGCCAAGATGTTGAATGCTGAGCCGTTAACGAAGATAAGACCAACAAGCCCAATAGTCCATGCAAGCGCAATAGTTGTTGATATGATTAAAAGCATTTCCGGGAAGAAATCTGCAAGTCTGACAACAGAGGATACAAACACTGCATCCGTTACACAAGAGAATAAATCAAGCACCACAGAAGAAGACACAATAACAACTCTTGATCCTAGATCTCTGCAGATACAGACTGTTCCTAGTGAAATGACAGTGTCCCCAGCTGGAACGATGACTGCTATGCTCTTAGCAAAAGATACAAGTGAGAAAAGCACAGTAAAGTCACTTTTCCAGGAGAGGATACAATCAACAAGTGCTTTGGAGAAATCAGACCAAGCCGATACACATAAAGACTGGACTCTAAATAACAGATTTGTCTCTCCACCACTTGTTACGAAGAGAAGAAATTCCATTAAGAAGATATTTTTCACGAGTCCTCAACCATCCGTTAACCCAAGTAAAAAGTGGAACGAAGATGAAAGGCATGAGCGTGAGGACAAAGAAGAAAAACCAGGTTCCATAATCTCTTTGAAATCGCTTTGGAGGTCAAGAACTCTATCGCTTTCAAGACAACCCAAATTCAACCTTGAGTCTGGTGCATCGTTATCAAACCCTGACGATTTTGTACTTCCTGAGCCTGGACAGGAACGTTTTAAAGGTTTTGATGATGCCATAAAGATGTTGGATGGCCACCACACTATTAAACCGTCAAATTCTAGGGATTCCAACGAGACAGGAGATACCTTAACGAGCTTGATGGATGATAAATTTCGTGGATTCAAGTCTGTTTCAGAACATGCTCCAACGCCTGCACCAGTAATGTCTACCGATTTTAGAAACAAGCCAACTAATAAGTGGTTCAGAATCAAAAGATTGAGGACCCCGAGTCACCGCAAGAGAGTTGTATCCTTTAAAATCTCTGATGACAATATGTATATCAATGAGTCAGATACAATATCAGAGAGATATCGAGGCGAAGAAACCGTGTTGAAGAGGACTCAATCAGACCTGCAGCAAAGGAGACCGACACGCTTCAGATCATTCTTCTCCAGCTGGAAAGGATAGTCGATGCTACAAATTTCAGTATAAGGTGTATGTTACTTCAATATAAGCCTCTCTTAAAATGCATCCATCGTGTAGTCATGTTCAATGCCTGGGGTTACACTAGTGATAAACTTCAAAAAGATAATAAGGTATTGATCGACACGAACAACAGACTGGACATCATCTACGCTGGTGTCGTCTAATTGTTCCCAATCATCAGTGTCCTCACTGTCAGCAAGCCCAATATTCTTGACACCCTTCAACAGGTCTTGTTTCTCCTTTTTAAGCCTTGCAGCGGACATTGCTCTATTGATCAAGACCTTCATAACTGCGGCATGACGACAAGGATGGATTGACACCGTTGTTGTATCGTTTAGGAAAGGGGCCTTTTCGATGGTGACGGTTTTATCCCTGTAGTCCTCAGAGATATCTTCAAACATCTGCTCTGGTGTTAAGGGAGTCCCGTTCGAGTCAAACCCAACAAGATACATCCTTGGGACCCTGTACGCGGTTGAATAGTGGATGTATAAGTCATAGAACCGCTTGTTTGCCTGTATTGTATATTCCTGTTCGTCATCGTCATCGTCCTCCGCAGTGTTGTCGATCAAGTCATCAATCTCCTCAATCTCTGACTGCTGGGCACTTACTTGTTTAGTACCAGAAGTGGCACCAGCATGGGGTCCACTCGTCGTGGTCCACCCGTCCGCATCCTCCTCCTCTTCTATAGCCACGTTCTCGTAATCATTTGCCCTTACAAGCGATGGAACACGCCTTGTCACCAGTACTTGCTTATCCGTTGGTAAGAAGTCCCTCTGCTTGGACGCTGGTGCTCCAAGCCACTGCCATGTTGGGAACTTATACGTGAGATAATCACCAGCTTGAACAAACTCCTCAGGCGTAATCTCCCCGGTTTGGGAGAACGTCGAAGTATGATAAGCAGGAGTTAGATATTCCCTCCACGAGTTGAACGTTGATCTTAACATATCTACACTGTGTGTGTGTTTCCTCTTCTTCTCTTATCGTTTGTGACAGCTTCTCTGTACAAAAGGCCAATAACAACACCAGAAGAAGAACACAGCAGCGTACCGCTTTGCCCCGGGAACATCCGCGCCCCCTCTCTTGCCACAAAATATCCGAAAACAGCAATAGTCCCGAGTCCGGTACGGGAAACATACACGAAACCCTGGTAGAACAAGCTGACAAGCACAGTAGCGAGAGAGAGCGTGATAGTGGGAAAGGAATAACAACACAGCAACAGGAAACCATGTCGAAGGCTTTGCTTTCTGTGGTGTCAATTGCCAACAGCGACTCACCAACCAAGGAGGATGACATATTATCGCTGTTAACTGCCGAAGCCGTGGGGTCATCGCAGCTGGCGTCGTTGATCACAGCGGTCACAAAACAACCAACACTGCCTGTGAAGAAGATTCTGCTGAGATACGTTTCCTACGTTGAGGATGAGCTAGAGCCAAAGGCAAGACAGCAAGTGTATGAGCAACTTGTGGACTTGTTCACGCCTCCAACGGCGCTTGTCAGCGCGGCGCTGACGGAAGTTGTGCTAAATTTGAGCTCCTTGTACGAGTCATGGCAGATGTTTGGACAGGCTGTTGACCTCTTACACTTGTTACAGGCCGATGTGCTGGCGCAGGATTTCGACGACGAAGAGTCGTTCACCATATTCCGCGTTCAGCTGAATACCAGGATAGCAAAGGACTGTTTACAGATTGATGATTATGAGAATGCGGAAGCCCATCTGACGAGGATTTCACAGTCGTTATCGTCTTTACCAGAATCCGCTTCAGAGCTACGTTCAGAGGCCCATAAGACCGCAGTGCGTGTTATGATTCATGTTGGGAAATGGCTAGAAGCTGCTTCTCGTCTGCTATCGTTGAACGATGAAACGCGTGATGGACCATTAGTTACGTACGCACTGCTAGCCCCCTCGAGTCCCTTCACCAGAAACTTGTTCAAGGAGATCAGGAAAAGCAGCCACATTCTGTCGAATGTCATGAATACCCCGTTGGCCTCAATGTTTGAAAAGATGTCCAATGAGAGGCTGATATATGCCGAGGAGTACACTCAGGTGCTGGGTTACATCGTTGAACATAACGACCAAACGCTCTCTGATTCGTATTGGCAGAGGGAGTTGGCTCGTGCAGTAGTTGAAAATAACTTGGTTTCAGCTAGTAAGATCTATGCTAACTTACGTCTGAGCACGTTCTCTGAAATGGTTGGGTTGGAACAGAGTTCTGTCGAATCAATCATCACAGAAATGATCCGTGACAATCGCATGAAGGCAAGCGTCGATGATATTAACCATACAATTTATTTTGGCCACGATAATGCTTTACAGCAATGGCAGGATCATATCATGACCTCCTGTGCGATGTTGGAGAAAATAGTTGATGACATTACATTTGCCAGCTAATTACGGAAGTACACGATTTCAATATTTAAAGGCGTATTGAGTCTTTATCATTAGGTTGTAGTGCCTGTTTTTCTGTCTGACACTCGCATACATACATTATATAGCACTCCCTTACAGAAGCGCAATGCTCAGTTTGTGCTGATAAGTGATAGTTGTAACAAAGACTTAGCAGCACCGTATGATCCTGGAGTAGAGGAGCATAGCTTTTTAGTCGGAGATGACATGATCAAATCCCCGTTATCATCACGAGAACGCTTTACGGGCGTCACTGTTTGTCTGTTGGTGTTATGATTGAATGTATCTTTAACTGGTAGGGCTGATTGTGAATAAGATGGTGCTTCAACAACAGGGCTTAAGGTCTCGTACATTGAGCGTGATTTGGTAAATGCAACTCGTTTCTTCTTCTGTGATAGTGGTGTAGATGCAGCCAAAAGAGAGATATGGCGGGTCAACGAAGGGGTAACGTGCTTTTCCTGCTGGCCCATGATGATCTCAGTCAATGGGACGTTCACCTGGTTCGTGCGAAGTTTATAGTATGCGAGTCTCAGCCTGTACTTGAGCTTTCTGGCACAGGAGGACGTGTCTGTAGGCTTCAAGACCTGGCCTGCTGGTATGTTGTTGTTGTTGTTGGCTTTGCACGTTGGCACAGATGTTTGTGCCGATGCTTTGTTGATGATGAAGGCGATGTCACTCGCCTTCATATTTCTTTGCAGGGTGTTTTGCTCTATAGGCTGAAGAGGGATTCTCGTCGCTGTCGTCGTTGTCGTCGTCATTGTCGTCATCGTATCAATAGGAATGCTCTGTGCCTGGCCTGAGTTCTGAACGTGTGCACGGTGAAGAACAAGAACAACAACAACAAGGAAAGCAGGAGAAAGAATGGAAACAATATATAAAGCAGGAGAAAAAGAGATGATTGAATATATGCGGACGTCTACAGTGGTGACTCGTCGCCACGACAAAAATTCACGTCGTGTTTACCTTTTCCCGAATTCGAACACAGTCGCGTCGCGACCGATGCGCGTTTTTCGCCAGATTGTTTTCCTGGTTTCCTGCAGAGTTGTATGGTAATCGTCGTGGTAACGGCTTTGCATGTCGGAGAAATGACGACCTTGTGCGAAAACAAAACACACACACAGAGCAAAACAAACCTCTCTTGTTGTGTTTATTGTTGTTCTTTTTTAAGGTGACAACCCCATTCCGGTCATCTAATTTAGTGCTGTTCGCGTAACGTCGTTTAGCCTAACGGTGCTGTGTAAAGCTGAGTTGCCACAGCGCTCCTTCCACCGTGGGAACCGGTTGCCGCCCTCCCACAAAGCGCTCTGTCCCACCACAGGCGCCTTTACTCAACTGCTGGTAACAATAGGACACACCAACCAGGGATCGACAGTACGACTCGCTTGTAGGGTTCTCGCTGTTGATTTTCAGATGGCGGAGGAGCGTGAAGGGAAATTTAAGGTTTGGGCCGAGGCGTTGAGGCGGTAACGGTGCCGCCCATCGTTGTTTACACTTTGCCTCGAATAACGACGCACATTTGCGTCGCGGTGGGAGGGTTTGCTCTGAAATCGGGATATGGGGCAAAAACGTAAACATAAACATCAACGAAAACGTAAACAAAGGAAACGGCAACAGGCTTTACAGTGCGAATCTGTGCGCATACAACCACACAAGCGAACGGTTAGACGCTTTTCTAAGTGTTGTGAATCGATATTACGTATTGTTACACAGGTATTGTAAACCTCTTTCGCACCTGCTGGTGGACACCGCACTCACAGCGCAAAGTCCATCTCGGAAACCCATCTGGACAGGTTTGTGATTTGTCTCTCCTCTATCAGATCATCACGACCACTGGCAACTTTCAAGATCAGTTCGTTCAGCTCGGCAGACCCGAGAATATCAACGTGCTCTGCGGTTTTAGCACCGCCGCGAATGTCGAATCTATCAGGCTCGTGCTTGATCTCAACAACCTTAACAGGCGAGCCGCCAGGGTTGTAGTATCTCGAGGTCTTCCACTTATGACACATGGAGTGCGTCAACAGCGGCAGCGTTCCATCGCCATCGGTGAAGAAGACGGGCGATTTCTCGTTGTTTGGCGCCTTTATGGTGATGTTGAGCTTAGCAAGGGTCTTATTCTGCTCCTCCTGGTACATGTACGCCCTCTCTGTAGGGTTTCCAACACCATAGAAGCAGTAGATCTTCATATCCGGTGCGTTAGGTAATGGTGCCTCCAGTGGGTTGGACCACGTAGAGAACTTCTGGTTGTTGGCTTGCAGCTCTGCAGGAGTGGTTGCAAAACCAAAAGAATACTGCTCACGGACCCGATCTTGGAACCAGGTTGGGGACATGTCCAACAAATAGTCCAAACTGTCAGCCATGGTGAGGTTTCTAGAGGAGAATGTCCCAACAGCTTCATCAAATCTGATGAAATCAGCAAATGTCTCATTCTTGTTTGGCGACAATTCATCGTCAGCAGAGCCGTCCTCTAAGGTACCCCAGATTAAGTCACCACCCTTTGGGAACATGCTTGGAATGCCACCAAATGTACGAAGCATATCAACTCTTTCTCTTCTGGAGAAGAACTTCTCCAAACCGTAAACCGCCAATGCATTGAGCTGGACGGTATCTTTCATCTCACCTGACAACAGTGCAGGCACTGCCTTAGGAGCTCCAAGAGCTGAACCCGAAATATCAACAAAGGCAGCAATATTATCGTTGATCCAATTTGGACCACCGTTACCAAAATATTCACCTTCAGCTTCAACCCATTTCATAAAGTAATACGCCACCTGTGCTCCCATTGAGTGTCCAATCAAGATCGTTTTCTGATTGCTGACTTTCTTTTGGAGCTCGATTTGTGCCTTCATAGTGGAAAAGTATGTATCACGTCTCTCTAAATCCATATAGGCCAATCTCCAATCATAAGCAGCAGTGATCATCATGTTCGGGTCATATCCGATTGCAGCGAGGTTTTGGATGATCTTACCCCAAATCCAGTAGCCTGTTATGAAGAAGTCTGCCGCTTCGAATCCCTGAGCGGCTCTAACCGTGATGCCTTCTGGATCCAACCCAGTTATTGGGTCCAACATGATGTGCTTTAGCCAACACACCTTGTCCAGGAACATCGTACGGATCATATACATCGATCCCCATAGTCTCTTACGGAAATGTGGCTGAGAAGGACAACCTTCAACGCCTGCTGTTCCCCAAGACTCCAGACCAGTTGAGATGACACCTGGCACCATCACAACGGGGAATTTTGAGGTCAAACCGTAGTCCTTTTTCATAGCCTTTCCCACAGAGAAGTTCTCTGTGAGATCCTGTTGACTGGGTGTGGCAAAGTCGAAGTCTGATAACACGCTGCGGATGTTCTCAGGGAGGAAGCCACGCCAATCATCAACATAGTCCTGGAGGTCAAACAGCTTATCGAAATCCTTGTGACGGTGAGCTCCGAGATAGGCTGCGAGCAAAACACCAATCACAGCACCGAACATAAACACCAACCTCTTGGAGGCATAAGACTGAGACTCATCATCGTGCTTAGCCCTCTTCTTCTTGTGATGCGACTTGTGGTGTTCCTGCGTTTCCTTCGGAGTATCATCCTCATGAGAGGTCTCCTTAACAGCGTCCGTTTCCACCGACGGCTCCTTGTTTCGAGACTTTAGCACCATATTCCACGCACAGAGAATCAGCACAGTGTTCGTTCCCCTATCTGCTTCTGTCTTGCAGTGTGATTGCTGTTACAGAGAGTCCTGTTTGTAGAAAACAACCTGAGAGCATACGAAGTTTCGGGAGATCCGAATCGCAACGCGAAAGATAAATGATCCGAGTTGCCAGGGCAACGCTGACGTTTCACCATTGTCTGCTTTCCATGTTGACAAATAATCGTTTGGTCCTTCGATAAGGGAGGCGGAAATCGCTGAAATATAGACAGCACGAGACGGTGAACCAAGCCAGACACTTTAGAACAGCCAATTGCAATCAATCGTAATTGAATTAAGAGAGCTTGTGCCTCATTGGTTGTATTGTTCTACTGTTTGGCAGCAAAATGTGCTTTATATGTCTCTATGTGTCCCCTAACAATAACACCAAAATGTGTGTCGTCTACCGTTTGCGTCGTATGGCACCGTCGTATAAGCTGCGCAGTTATTTCGAAATGTCAACACTGAAAGGCCATGAACAAGCGAAGTGGGAAACTTGTGATCTTTGCCTTCCTTCATCACGTCGAACATCCACATCGTTGCTCTGTAAACACGACAAAAATGAAGACTGCGTTCTGGGTACTGCCCCTGGTGTTGACGATCTATGGTGTTTTGGACAAGCTGTTCGACACCTGGTTACCATCGAACTTCATCTTCGACCCAGTCACTCTGAACGAGATCTCCAACGAAGTGTTGGCAAGACACCCGGATAACAACACCACTGAGATCATGCAAGATCTCGCGCAGGAGCTGAAGGCCAAATATGGAGACAACATCAACGCGTTGAACTCTGATGACTGGGTCTTCAACAACGCCGGTGGTGCCATGGGAAACATGTTTATCCTTCATGCCTCCATTTCCGAGTATCTGATCTTCTTTGGTACCGCTACCGGTACAGAGGGCCATACTGGTGTTCATTTCGCAGACGACTACTTCACAATCCTTGTTGGTGAACAAAGAGCCGGCTTGCCCAACGCTGTGTTCCCAGAGATCTACAAGCCTGGTGAGACCCACCATTTGCAAAAGGGATTCCAAAAGCAATACATGATGCCATCAGGAGCATATGCGTTGGAATTGGCCCAAGGCTGGATTCCTGCGATGCTACCGTTTGGTTTTGCCGATGCGTTCTTCTCAACATTGGATGTCTACACCTTGTACAGAACCGTTTACCTCACTGCAAAGGCCATGATCGAATCAATCCTCAGAGGTAAGTTTTAGATACATTTCCATATATAGAACGTATAATTGACCTTGAACATTATAACAGAATTGTACCCTATTCATATATCACGGGCTGTATGGCCTATATATAGATATTATCGTGATGTCCGGGTGTTTAATCCATTTCCACTTCAACGAAAAGTTATGGGTTTAGAGACGCTTTCGTCCTACTGAAAGTTCATTTACATGTCTATACAACGTTGATATGGCTACTCCTCGTAATACCAGTCCTCAGTTTACTTCACCACTCGTCACAACGGCGACCCCGTTGAGGACTCCTCTAAATCTACAGCATCAACAGCAACAGCAGACAGAAGAGGAGAAGATATGGCTCAACACGGAGAGAGCACTTGAAGAGCTGAAAGGAACAGAGCTGATTCCACTGGTGATGGACATAGTAGAGGCCGCCAACAGCGATGCTCTACGGCCACAGGATGTTGAAAATGCGGTAAGTGTGTGATGGTCAAGTCACTGCCCAAGCTACTAACACAGAATGCACAGGCTGGTCCAATCAAAGTACGCATCTCGAGGGCAAAGGATATCCTACGAACCATGCACGGGCTGGCAGAGACCCCTGAAGAGAGAGAGCAGAGGGTGCTGAGACTCAAGAAGAACATCGAATCAAAGAGTAACATCCTACAACGGTTTAAAGACACCGTGAGCCAGAGGCTGCCTCTCTCCAAGGAAGAAGGACCACAGCAGATGAAAACGGAAATCCCCTTCGACATCGTACCACCACACGACGCCAAAGCGACATACGAAGACGTTGAAATGAAGGATTCATGAGCCCAACAGGCCTTCGGAACCAAGGACTACAATGCCCAATTACACCAACAGTATGATAACAGCTTATAGTGCCCAATAGTAGCAAAGCTCAACACCCGGACATCAGTAGTGCGCGTACCGCCTCTCCTCGCCTCCGACGAAAGAAAATTTCCAACAAGCAAAAAAGTGAAAAATGGACGGAGAAGGTGTGTTGAGGAGAGCCGTTTTCGTCATATCTTATAGTACAGCAATGTCACAGCCTTTGCCAATTGATCTCGTTGAGATCCCAGGTGTCACATCCGAGAAGCCAAAGCCAACTGGTCTTTGGTCTTCCAACCCACTTTTCTCCTTCTTGAACAACGCCTATGAGAACATTGCAGAGCATCGTCGCACACTCAACCTGACCAACCCAGGTACCATGGAGAACTTGAGCAAGGAGGTCACCAGAGACGTCTTCCTCAACCAGTACTTCTTCACAGGTCTCAGAGCTGACCTGAACAAGGCCTTCTCCATGAACCCGGCTTTCCAAACCTCCCACACTTTCTCCATCGGATCGCAATCCATCCCTCCATATGCCTTCTCTGCATTGTACGCAACCGATACTTTCTTTGCCCAGGGTAACATTGACAACGACTTCTCCCTCTCTGGTAGATTGAACTACGGCTGGGACAAGTTCAACGTCTCGAAGGCTACTCTGCAGATTGTCAGAGGCCAACCAACCATGCTCCAACTTGAACAAGATTTCCAAGGTTCTGATTACTCACTGAACTTGAAGGCTTTGAACCCATCTTTCCTCGATGACGGAAACTTCACCGGTGTTGCTGTTGGTTCCATCTTGCAATCTATCACTCCAAAATTGGCTGTTGGTTTGGAGACCGTTTATTCCGCACAACCATCCATGCCAGCTGACGCTGCAGTTTCTTACTACACCCGTTACAACGCTGGAAACTGGATTGCTAGTGCTCAGCTCCAAGCCCAAGGTGCCCTTGTCGCCTCCTTCTGGAGAAAAGTTGCAGAGAACGTTGAGGCTGGTATCGAAACCCAATTGTCTTCCCAGATTGTCCCAGTTGCCGGTGGTGCCCTTCTCGGTGGTCAACCATCATTCAAGGTGAACTTTGAAGGTGTCACCACCATTGGTGCTAAGTACGAGTTCCGTCAATCCGTCTTTAGAGGCCAAGTCGACTCCACTGGTAAGGTTGCTGCTTTCCTCGAGAGAAGAATCCTTCCAACAGTCTCTGTTCTCTTCTGTGGTGAAATTGATCAATCCAAGTACGCCTCGAAGATTGGTGTCGGTTTGACCTTCGAAACTGCTGGATCTGAACAGCTCGCCTTGATGCAACAAGGCCTGATCGATGCCAACGGTAACCCAGTTCCAGGTGCTCCACAGATCTAATCAGTTTGTTCATGACGATATTGATGGCGATGTCATTAACCAATGTTGTTTTAGAGTAACGATTTGATGATCTTCATGGAGTTTCCTACTCATTTTCTTGTGAATACGTATCATAATTACAAAATTTAGTGCCAAATTAGACAAATTATGTTGTTTTTGAAAAAAAAGAACACAATCCATACTCTTGTAATATAGTATGAGTTGTATTGGATGTCGTAGACATCTTGAAAAATGTCGGTCATTATGCATGTTGCTTCATTATAGTGTTCGTATTCTTCTAGCACCCGTTGAACAGGCCAATGCTAGAAGAATGATTTCAGAAACCCTCTGAATGATGAGTCTGAGTTTTCTTCCATTGAGGATCCTCCCAGCATGTTGTAAACGTCGTAAGATGAATATCTATGCGCAGGGTTTTTCTTGTTGTTCTTGCTCGAGTTCCTGAATATTGGATCCGTCACGATGCGGTTATCCCTCGTACGTTCTTTGGCCATAGGGTTGAGATTCAACTTTATGTACTTTTCTGTCCTTGGAGTAGAAGCTTCATAATCGTCCGACGGATCCATCCATGACGATTCAGACTGATATAGTGACATTGATCTCGAAGACCTGCTGAACGAGCCGTGGTTTCGCGTTCTCAGACTAGATGCCAACAAGATGTTCGGTGAAGAGTCTCTTTGAACAGAGGCATCAGGGGTGTAATAGTTTGTAACTTCTTGTTCGTGCTCTTCAAAGAAGCTATCCAGAGCCAGTTCCAATGAAGATGCATTTGATTTGGTTTTTTTCAAAGGTGAAGTGCAGTCTTGCAAGAATACGTTATCATCAACATACGCCTTTGACCCTGATTCAGATTCCAAGTTGAAGCATGCCACTGCGGTGCTGATCGATGCCATCGACCCCATCGAGACGTTTCTCCTTATCGGAGACGATTCACAGAGTACAGTCCTCGACAGCGGTGCTATCGTCGGCGGTGTTGGTGGGGCCACTGACTGAAGGAACAGGTTTCTAAATTGGCATATGCTTTTCAACGATGACTCCAGATCGTTGATTATCGAGTCATTTGCTGTGTGCAGCACTATTCTCCAATATCGCTCCGGGTTCGCCAGCGGCAGGATGAACTGATTCTTGGAGATCTTGAGTATTTTCAGCTTTGGCAGGATTGGGTAAACAACAGACCCGCATTGGAGATAACTCACCGCCTTTTGATGGAGCTGGAACAGTTCAAACCTCCCATGCCCTAGCAACCGACCATGCGATTGGTTGTTTGTATCCGGCATTTCTTCAAACGTAAAGATCTCAGCATTTGTATACTCAAACAACACGGACTTGTCCTCATCAATACAGCCTTTCATCTCCTCCACAGAGCCCTTTGTTGACAACGCGGGAGAGTCCCTCGCACTTGGCTCCAACAACGTGCTCTGGCTAGCCTTTCGAGCAAGAGCTCGCTTCCTTGGCGTCAGCTGTGACTGGGACGTCTTCTTCAACAGCTTTCTGCTCTTTGATATGTCTACGGCGTCCCGACCGTGCAAAGCGCTGCCGCCAGTTTCACCGTGAGCCTGTCCATCAACTACACTCCACATGGGCTCCTTGTCATTTGCACAGGCCACCGCTGGCGCCAGCGCCAGCGCCTGTGTACCGAGACGAGCACCACCAAGCGCGCTGCTGTTCGTAGATGATGTGAGCATGTGCACGATGGAATTGTACGTATGATCCGCCCTCAACCGTGACGTTATTGCTTTGTTTTGATTTTGAAGGTGAAGTTGGCTGTTTGTTTTGGTTTTGGAACACAGGTCGGAAGTCGCCCGAAAGGGCGCAATTCCGAGGTGCGCCATACTCTCTCTTGCGAAATTGCGAAATCCGGGGGCAGAGCGACGCGGAGCGGGCACCGAGCGGTTCGACAGTGTGCTTAAACCGACCGGATACGGGCTTCCACGCTCGCTTTGTAGAACACCACGCTAATCTGTCAACAGCGTCTGCCAACAGCGTCTGTGAACGATGGGCTGGAGAGAATGATCCCGTTAAGCTGAAGACCACCGTTCTGGTTAGAAGGCCTCGGTTGGAGGGGGTGAAGGAGCGATTACGCCCACTACGAACCCATCGTCTCAGCCAAAATGCGTTCCCTCTAGCTGTTCCTTTCAGGCGGATTTAATCATTTTGCCCCACACGGAGAATCCGTTGGGCGTGGCAGGCCCGCGTGGCCTGAACCGTTCCCTGTAGGACCAATTGTCTCTTGCTAAGAGAAGAGTCTCCCGTTAAAAGGCAACAGATAGTAGGAATTGCCCATACAGAAGGTAACCTCCCTCCCCTCTCCACCTGTTCTGGTTTCCCTTTCGCATTGTGCTTTGATTTGGATTAGTATCCCGCTTCTTTTATCACACCATGTTTGCTTCTCCCCAATTGCTGCGTTGCACTAGAGGACTGGAAAGACTGACAATGTCCACCAGATCCATCACCACTGCCAAGTCGATCATCTACTCGTCTCACGGTGTTCCCCAGGATGTGATCAGAGTTCACACTTTCACCATCCCAGATGCCGAGGGCGACTCCGTTGTGCTGAAGTCTTTGGGGTTCCCAATCAACCCGTCTGATATCAACCAGCTGGAAGGTGTCTATCCATCTAAGCCGGAGAAGACCACAAAGTACGGCACTGAGGAGCCTGCTGCGATTGCCGGCAACGAAGGTCTCTTTGAGATTGTGCAAGTTGGTCCAAACGTCAAGGAGCTCTCTGTTGGAGACCATGTCATCCCATTGTTCTCCAACTTTGGTACTTGGACGTCCCACAACGTTGCCCAGGAGAAGGATTTGGTGAAGTTGCCAAAATCGCTGTCCGTAGTTGCTGGTGCAACCATCTCCGTGAACCCCGCCACCGCTTACCAACTCGTTTCCAACTACGGGCTGGAGAAGGGTGATTGGTTGATTCAGAACGCTGGTACGTCTGGTGTTTCCCAAATGGTGGCTCAGATTGCCAAATCTAAGGGCATTAACGTGCTCAGTGTCATTAGAGACCGTAGCGACTTTGACCAAGTCAAGGCCAAGCTGGAGGCCCAAGGCGCTACAAAGGTCATCTCTGAGACCGAGAATGGTGACCGTGCAGTGGGCGCAGAGATTAAGAAGCTCACTGGTGGCAAGATCAAGATAGCGCTGAACTCCGTAGGCGGTGTCTCGTCTTCCAACATTGCGAGAAAGCTGGCTCCAAACGCAACGATGTTCACTTACGGTGGTATGTCCAAGAAGCCAGTGAGCATCCCAACATCGCTGTTCATCTTCAAGAACCTGACATGTAAGGGCTACTGGGTCACAGAGAACACCAAGAAGGACCCACAGTCAAAGATTGAAACCACGGAGGAGCTCGTCAAGCTCTACCAGTCCGGGCAGTTGAAAGAGCTGGACGTGAACGAACACACCTGGAAGCTGGACGAGTTCTCTGACGACCAGATCTTGGAGCTGCTCAAGGGAGTGGTTGAGAACGCTTATAACGGCAAGCAGTTCATCAGAATTGTTTAAAATGGAGACATACATATACACGCTATTTATATACCTATACCTCACACTCATTACCTCACCATTAGCGTAGAACAGGACTCGTCATATGGCGGCAGCACGCGCAGCACCAAACCATGGAAGCACGCATTCAGCACCGTGAACCCGTAGGAGTTCTGCCCACAGTATCGTGTGCCTCTATCAGGACCCTGCTGAAGTCCGCCACTTCCAATCCCCGGTGTATGTCTTTTGTCAGTGTGTGATTGGCGGTGTTGATCCGCTTTGGAAAAACAACATGGTGATACATCGAGCCCTTCCCATCAAATTTTCAACCAAAAACAACAAACACGACTTGTTTTGGTTTAGTCCATTGTCCAGCGTGGTGACGGTTACGTTCTCGAACAAGCGATGAATCTAACCTCGTTGATCAGCTTCAAGGTGTTCTTTGTGCTTCTACGTGAGACGTTCGAGTCTGCGATTGTCATTTCCATCTTGCTCTCCTTCCTCAAGCAAAACTTCACGACGAATGAGCACAGGGCGGAAGAGAACCGTGTTCACATCGACAAGGCGGTATACAGATCTCTACAACTACAGGTCTGGCTCGGTGCGTTCATAGGGTTGGCGATTTGCTTGGCGATAGGCGCTGTGTTCATTGCGTTGTTTTATCTGATCGGTACAAACTATTGGACGACGTACGAGAGGGTTTGGGAAGCGGTCTTCAGCGTGCTCTCCAGTTTCATTATCTCTGTGATGGGCCTCTCGCTCTTGAGAATGAACTCGATGCAAAAGAAATGGCAAGCCAAGTTGAGTAAAGATATGGCGAAGCAGTTTGCGACTGATCCAACAGGCGTTGATGAGGAAGACATCGTTGAAGGGCCACAGCACAAGCGCGGCATCAGAGGCTGGTTTAAGAAGTACGCTGAGAAGTACTCATTGATGGTGTTGCCTCTTGTGACTTTGCTCAGAGAAGGGTTGGAGGCGATCTTTGTGATTAGCGGAGTGTCGGCATCTGAGCCTGTATCTTCATTACCTCTTTCCATCATTTTGGCATTCACCATAGGTTCTTTAATCGGTGTGTCACTTTACAAAGGTGGGAATAAGATGAAACTACAGATCTTCTTGATAGGCTCGACCTGTTTCTTGTACATCGTTTCTGCGGGGTTGATGTCCCGTGGTGTCTGGTTCTTTGAGTTGGAACAGTACGTGCAACGGTGTAACGGTCAGGATATGACAGAAGTTGGCAATGGGCCGGGATCGTATGACATTGCGAACACAATTTGGCATGTGAACTGCTGTAGTGGTGTCAATGACGGTGGATGGATGCTTTTGAATGCCCTTGTCGGCTGGCAAAACACTGCGACTTACGGTTCAATACTGAGTTATTGGGCGTACTGGGCATTTGTTATTGCCATGTTAAAGATCAAGCTTTTCCAAGAGAGAAATGGTTACCTACCATTTATTCCACTAAAATGGCAATTGCGGAAGATTCTGAAGAGATATCACATTATCAAATACAATCTGGAGAATAACGAGACGTACGGAGTAATCCACTCAGTGGAATATAACAGCATAAACGACCACGAATTGCACAACCAACAACAATCATCATCTCAACTCCACGGTGCCAGTGAAGTTGAACCTGGTACAGACTCCACAGGGTTATTGAGCGGTGGAAACTCATGAATGAACTAATTTACACCTTAAACCATCGCCTGCTAGATAATTTACAGCGTCATAAAAGCACACACAGCAAAAGTTATGAGATTACATATGAATATAGCGTGATGATTGCAAATAACTATAACATTAATAGTGATAACATGAGTTGTATATAAAAAAAGAGATTAACACATTAATGGGGTGCTGGGAGTGACGTCTCTAATCACGGCCTATCCCCAAGATCTTCCAGGAGTCCACGTCAAAGACAACTGTGGCAGTGATGCATGCGAGATACTTGTCATCTTTGGTGAAAGCTCTAGCGTACACCACGTACTTTCCTGGAGGAACTTCGTTCGGAATCTCCACAGTCTTTGAGAGTTTGTACTCGCCTGGCTTCAAAGGACACTTCAGATCCACTTCACCAACCTCGTCACACAGGTCATAGGTCTGTGAGATGAGCTTGATGTACCCGTATCTCACGTCAACATCAACGTACGCACCTTCCTCAACCAGTTCGTGGAGGTGACCAACTGCGGCCACAGTGAGGTTCGCACCACGTGCTGGAGGATTAGGAACAATATCAACCAAGTCGATCGTCAAGAGCTGCTTCTGCGAAGCATCACAGATAGCCACCGGTGAGTCGCCTGGAACAGGCTCCTCACCGGGTAAGATCGTGGACTTGAGTGGGTTCTGCTCATCACGAGCAAACAACGAAGACGAAGCCACACATTGGAGAGCCAATGCGCTGAGGCATAAGTTCTTGAAAGAAACCATTACTTGTACCGCTAAGAGCTCTTCACGCTTAAGCTAACAGTTTCGACACGACGTATTTCCGTAAAACAAAGAAAAGTAGAGCGCTGTGGATATACCTAACCGCCCTTTTGGTATTTGAGTCGTTTGCTTTGTTTGTTGCTTTGATAAGGGGTTGCAACACCTAAAATTGAAATTTTTAAATCCGCCCGTTCTTCCTCTGTGTTTTCTCCGTGGGCTTGTTCGCTTGCGCTGGGGGGGGGGGGTTCTTTCTGCCGCTGATGCTGCTGCTGATGCTGCTGCTGCTTCTCAACGCTGTCTCAGCACAATTGCAGGCCACAACACAGTGGTTTGGATGCAAAACGGCATCAGAAGTGGTTGATGTGTTGTTACAGCGTGGTGGAGTCACTGGTGGCAGCTGAGTAAACGCGACGGACCTGGCCTTGATCTCTGAGTAGCATCGGTGCAGTTTTGGGGGGGGGGTCAGTTCCCTGCTGCGGCACGCATAGAGTTAATCCGTTACCATGGTGATTTTCAAGACCGACGGAGCGAGCCGGGAAAGCATCAGTTCCGGCCCATTCACCCCCGGAATTGGCCACTGCCATGTGTGTGGCGCACGCGAGCCTACGGGCGTCTCTCTCCAGTTTAATCACCATAGCACTCACTCTTCTTCATCTCAGCGTTGGAATTGGCATTGCAACCATACCGTGTGTATATAAGCGTTTGTGTCTGTGTGTGATCAACTGTGGAAGGTTAGCACATCGTCTCTGTTTCCCGGGAATCACCATTTCATGCTAAGTCGACTGACAGCTCATAGACAAATACTGGTCAAGTCTATACAACTAACTAGAGCCATGGCTTCGTCATCACCAGCCGTTGAGAAATCAAACTTCTACGCCGATACAAAGGCACCAATCGTGTCACTCACTGCGAAGACTTTCTTCGACCAATTGACTGAAAAGGAGAAGTTCTATGCCCATCACTTCTCGAAGGCTGGCCATTGGGGCACAAGGGTTGTTTTGAGACAGGTGTCGCACGAGTCTGAAGGCATCTTTGACCTCATCTTGGATGTTCATAAGTCTCTCAACGGCGACTACTCCAAGATCGCTGAGGCGTCGAAGAGAGGTTATTTGGAGTATGCGTCGCAATTCCTCGCAAACTTGGGTAACTATACGTCCTTTGGTGATAAGAAGTTCATCCCACGTATCTCCACAGAGGAGTTTGAACAGATCATCAAGGACTCCGGTGCATCATTGGAATTGTTCGAAAAGCTCAAGGAACCTCTGTTCTCCATCGATAAGAAGTCTGCTCTGCTAGGCTTCCCTTCTGAAGGCCATGTTTCAGGTTATTACTTTGGCGACGTCTCCAAGGAGAACATCGACACTATCAAGAAGATTCTGGGCGAACGCAAGGTCTACTTTGAGAACTTGAGAATCAGAAAGAATTCCGAGACTGATTATGACATCCTCGTTGCCTCGTCTTTAAAGTCAAGCGATAAGACATACCCTCCCCAGATTGATGCTGAAGGTTATAAACTCACAATTAAATTTGGAGATCACTCCCGTGAAATGGCTCAAATCGCTGCCGAATTGGAAAAGGCCAAGGATTACGTTGCAAACGATATCGAAACCAAGATGATTGAGGCTTACGTCGAGTCCTTCGAAACCGGTTCCATCGAGGCCCATAAAGAGTCTCAAAAGTACTGGGTCAAGGATCTCTCCCCGGTTGTTGAGACCAACGTTGGGTTTATCGAAACATATAGAGAGCCTGGTGGTGTTGCAGGAGAGTGGGAGACTCTGGTGTCAATTCAAAATAAGGAGCGTACCAAGAAGTTTCAAGCACTGGTTGAATCCGCTGGTGATTTTATCCAGTTGTTACCATGGTCAAAGGATTTTGAGAAGGACAAGTTCACGCCTCCAGACTTCACCTCTCTCGAAGTGTTGACTTTTGCTGGCTCTGGTATCCCAGCAGGTATTAACATTCCAAACTATGATGACATTAGGCTCACAGTTGGGTTCAAAAACGTCTCTCTTGGTAACATTCTCAATGCGAAATCTGGGAAGGAACCAATCACGTTTATCCAAGAATCTGAGCATGAGTTGTTCAACAAGTACCGTAATGACTCGTTCGAAGTTCAAGTTGGTATACATGAACTGCTTGGACATGGCTCTGGTAAATTGTTGAGTGAACTTCACGATGGCACGTTCAACTATGACCACGAAAATCCACCTATTGGACTCGACGGTAAACCAGTTACAACTTACTACAAGAAGGGTGAAACTTGGGGATCCAAGTTTGGCTCTTTGGCTGGAGCCTATGAAGAATGCCGTGCTGAGGTAATCGCCATGTATCTGATTTCAAACAGAGATCTGCTCAAGATCTTTGGTTTCGAATCACAACAAGACCAGGACAGCATCATTTACGCTGGATTCTTACAAATGTCTCGTGCAGGATTATTGGCTTTGGAGTTTTGGGATCCATCTTCATCCAAATGGGGCCAACCTCACATGCAAGCCAGATTCTCCATCATGAAAACTTTCCTCGAATCAGGATTAGCAGAGCTGGTTTACACTGAGCCAGACTTCAGCGACTTGTATGTGAAGGTTCACAAGGACAAGATTCCATCCGTTGGTCATGAAGCTATCAAGGATTATCTCAGACACTTGCACATATATAAAGCCTCTGGTGATGTTGAAAAGGGTTCAGAGTATTTCATTAACAGATCCACAGTTACGCCAGAGCTCGCAAAACTGAGAGATGCTGTGTTGAGAGCAAGACTCCCAAGAAAGCAATTCATCCAAGCAAACACCTCAATTGTGGATGGTAGTGTTATTCTAAAGGAGTATGAAGAATCCGAAGTTGGCTTAATTCAAAGTTTTGCTGAAAGAGAAGTCTAACTGCTACTGAATACGGTCAAAGAGGCAACAAAGAGAAAGAAAATAACAGGTATAATAATTATGATTTATAGCTTCAATTCCGGTTAGCCATTTGAAATAACAGCTTTTGTATGTCTTCTTTACTGGACCGACGTAGTGTAACTTTCCCTCCATCTGAGTAATCGGATCTTGGTCCACAGGATGGTTGTGAAAGAATTTCTGAAGCTTGGGTGGAAGAAAAGGGAGTAGGACCAGTATTTTCGTCAACCATGCCTCTTGACAGTTTTTTCAAAACTGATTCATAGTTCATCACTTTGGTTTCTAATCGTTTGATTTTCCCCTTTTGAACATCTACTATTCTTTGGAGCTCGTTCACGTTGGACGCAGAGATAGAATCCCTGCTCTGGACGCTCATTCGTCTTGAAACCAGACGACTTTCATTTACAATCAAATGAACAGCTTCCTGTATAAACAAAACAGCTTCATTGAGCTTCTCAATTTGGTCTCGGTCATCGTCGTTCACATCTGTGTGAAATTGGATCGACTGTAAACTATCACGTATAGTTGTCAATGAACCACTGTCAATTATACCATCAAAATCCTTGAATATAGCTTTAGACAATTCTGTGATGGATCGCTTGAGCTCATGTTTCAGAACACTGTTCCTCAAAGTTTCTGCTCGCAATATCCCATTCAGCTCACGAGTATCACGTAGGAGAGTTCTCATATTGGACAATTTCTTATCTAATTGTGTAGCATCAGAGGTTCGATCACTTAATCTCTGTCGAAGGTCTCTTATATCAAGTGTGAGCTGACCATGGCGACGCTCAGACTCAACCAACCGTTCCCTCAAGCCTTTGATAGTATCCTCCTTAAGATGTATACTGTTGCATCTCTTGATTTCAACCCTTTCAATATGCGCCTCCAATTCTTGGACTTGACTACCAAGTTTGTCACATGCAGCACACAACGTCTTTGATTCTTCTTCATGCCTTTGAGACTGTTCTTGAATCTGAAATTTTAACTCCTCAACTTTGTCATTGCTATCTCTATTGGCACTTTCCAATGCGACTATCGTCTTCATATGTATATCAAGCTCCGTTTGGGCAGAAGTCATCAGTGTAACTTGATCGTTAATTACCTCTTCCATCTTAGTTGCCTTTACTGTGAGCTCAGTGAAGTTGAGATTTAATTTCGCATTAGAGATTTGAAGCTCATCTATTTGTTTCTCAAGCTGTTCCTTCATCGCTATTGTACTGTCTCGAGAAGCTTCAACCACTTTCAACTCAGCCTTACACTGCAGAAGCTCTTGAGACTTTTGCTGAGAACTAAACTGCGCTTCCTTAAGAGCAGTAGTCAACTCCATCTCTTTGAATTTCTTGTTTTGTACCTCAAGGGATAGCTCTTGAATCTCAGATGAAGTTGTTTCATGTTGGTTTTCCAACTCTTGAACTTGGAACTTGAGGTTCATTGCTGTCAGTTTGGAAGCTTCAAGCTGCTTCTTAGTGATATTGTTTAACGTTGATAATTCTTCAACCATTGCTATAACATCAGATATTGAATTCACCGACTTTCCAGTGAGAGTGGAACATACTTCATTTATCGCTTTGAAGAATTCATTCTCACACAAAGCACGAGCCCTGGATTCAGATGTAACCATTTCATTCTTTAATTGGCTATAGCTCTGGTTGACAGATGCGAGCATTTTGGTTGTTTCTGCACTCTGTAGTCTTACTGTCTTTAGATCATTGTTTATAAGTGATGCTTTCAGAGAAATATGAGATATTCTATCCTTGAGCTTCAATATAGTATGATCTCTTTCGGAAATATCTTGCTGCAGACTTGAGAAACGAGTCTCAACTGACCCTAAGTCGCCCTGGAGCAGATCAACTTTGCGACATAGATTCTTGACACCATCATGCACTCTTGCAATGGTTTCCTTGAAGTCCCAATCTCCATCATCAACAAGACTTGAATCCTTGAGAAGAAGAAGCAAATCTTTGAGAAACTTCTCAAATCCCCAATTGACAGAACTCCGTTCGGTATCGACATTTGCTTTCAGAAACGCTGATCCCTGTACGTTGCTGTGGTTGATATGCTTGAAATTTGGCAACTTTGGTGGCTCCTGATCAAGAATATCAACTTGCTCATAGGAGTCGTCAGCTGGTAAAAGTGACTTCTCCCTATCATCATCTCCACAAAGTCTTAAGGAAAACTGAGGCTCATATTTCCGCACAGAGTCCAAGCTCAAGTCTTTAAACTTTGATGCGAGTGACAATGTATCATCTTGTAAATGGTGGGTGGAGTCGGACATTTCGTATGCAGGCGACACGGTAGTTGAAGTTGTCCTTGCATTTGCTGGTGAAAAAACCGAGATAGTGCTCTTCGGGAGCTGCGTTGAATGGGAACTGGAACTTTCGAAGCAATGCTGTTCTCCAACGCAGCTGTAATCCAGTTGCTGAGCTGTAAGATGTTGCAAATGCTGTAGATCTTGCAGCGAAATGTCGGGTGTAGCGCTGTACTCACTTGAGCTTACTTGACCAGATTCATGAGAAGACACCAACGGCTCGAGAGGCGTAGTTTGCTGCTGGCTGGAAGCTGGAAATTCGTCCTTGATATCACAGAAGGTGACATTTCGGGTGAATCTAACAGAACCAGGCCTTGCTGTAGAACCATCCACTGCTCTGTTATTTCCCTGTATCTCTAGCCTTGTTGAACCAAAGGGGTCAACGCCGAAATCGGGCAAGTTATCCAAGAATTCGCCCATGCTCTTGACGTTTGCTCTAAGGGTTGTCATGTAAACATCATCATCCGCATCCCTATCAAGCTTTGCTTTCATAGGACTGGAATTAGTACTGTATGACTTCAAGATAGGTATAACATTTTCCCGTTCAGCTCTTTCAACAGAGGTCTTTGAGCCAAAGCGTGGGGCAGTCACCTGGTGTATGTTTCCAAAGGACACATCACTGTTGAAATTGCTGCTACTCTCTGTGCTCGAAGATATATCCGAAGAAGACATGGACCTGAGATCTTGTTGATCTTGCTGCTTAGATACAACCTTGGCAACAAGAAGCTGATGACAGAGGGAACAACATTCTTAGTGCTTAAATCTCACACAACTGTGCCAGAATATACAAAGTTGTTTTTGTGGATACCTTTTCTGATGTTTACTAACACATGAAGATTTATATCACCGGGCCAACAATCCCGCTGTACACCACAGCCCAACAGATATAGGGGAGATTACAGCCAGTGCTTCCATTGAGACACCAGTGTGACCTCTTCTGTTGATTTGTGTATTAAGTATAAGTTTATATAGAAGTGTAGCGTTCGTGGCATGTGTTTCTTAGAGCCTCTGGAGTGCTCACCACAGCAGCCATATCTTATGGATATGGCTGCTCTTCGTTAGTTGAATATTGATATGGACGATTGACTTGGTAACCAAAGCCCTGCTGCAGAAACTGCCCAGAAACTACCTGTTGATGTGAAGGCCCCGATATTGGCAATGGTGGCCTGTTCAGCCCATAAGACATTTGAGAGAACTCCTGTCCCGAGGGAGCACTATACATAAGATACTGACCTGGCTGTTGCAGAGTACTCGATTGGGATCCTGGGTACTGCAGCAGTGGTGGTATCTGTGTTTTCTCAAGCTGTCTTGGTGGAACTCCTGCCTGATATGGGGATGATATCATTGGCGCTACTTGTGGAGTATATCCCATTGTTTGTTGTTGTTGTTGTTGTTGTTGCTGTTGTTGTTGTAGCTGTTGTTGTTGTAGCTGTTGTTGTTGTTGCTGTTGCTGTTGCTGTTGTTGCTGTTGCTGTTGTTGCTGATGGTTATACAGCTGCTGCACTGCAGCCTCTTGTGTATAAGTAACTTGCGGATATTGGTGGACTTGAAGCTGCTCATACTGTGGTGAGTTGTATGAGCCCACATTTGTAGTCTTTTTCGCGGTTGGCAATGCTTCATATATCCCTCGAAGTGGTTCAGGAGCTGGTGCCTGTCCTACCTGTTGTACTGGCTGAGCTGCTCGTTTTTGGTTCAGCTCTACTTCTCCCAAACTTGGAAGGCCATTTATACTCAGAAGCTCCGCATTACCTTCACCCTTCAAATCATGAAGGAACTCGCCATAGTCAAATGCCGATATAATGGATCGTTCACCCGTGTTCATATTGAGGAAGCCACGTAAGAGATCCCTTTTAAAAATTCTCGGTTCACAATAGATAGCACATGTGATAGCCCTTGGAATCAAGTAGATACGCATATCCGCCTTATAACGAGGCCGTGCCACTTTCTTCTTCAGAAATGTTGTTGAGGGTCTTTGCCCCATTACCCCGAGAGTTTCTTGATACATCTCCTTGTTGAGTTGGATACTACGGAAATCCTCCTCGTCATCATCGTTAAGGTAGAGATTTCCAGGCATTGCAGTTTCCAGCTTGAGAAGAACAGATCCTCCAATCTCTGATGCCGCTGCTCTTGTTACTCTGATAAGGGAGTATTCTGAAATACCAAACAGGTTATAGACCGCCTCGTCTATTGATGAAAACTGAGGGACCTTGGAATGCCCCTTTGGCGACGAGTTTATATCCTCGACGAATTTCACTGGTTGAACGTTTAGTAAGCTTGAAAAGCCTGAAACAGCATTTCTAGTTGATAACTCTTCATCAGTGATACTAACTGAGCCCTTTTCATTGGAGTACTTGAGAACCTTTAAAGGTTTGCGCATTGAGTCCGAAACAAGTAGCGAATACAAGATTCCCAGCGTCGGAACCAGTGTCAGTCTGACAGTGGTTTCCTTGGATAGTGGTCTCCCCTGTGGTCTTGAGTACCCAGTGGCCTTTCTATGTGAAAACTTTTCCTTTGACGATCTACTTGTCCGACGTCTGGCTAGTTGAACCAAATGCTCTGGAGAATTTTCAACCTCGACTGGTTCTATGGTTTTTGCATTGAACGGTGGCCTTGGTTGTAAGCCGTAACTCAAGGGTGGGATGAGCGTATCGACAGATCCAGGATCAGTTGGGTATCTTAACGAGTCGACATCATTCACAAAGCTCGTGAAAGTGTTTGTTCTTGCAGGCATCCCTGTGTTTCCTGAGTGTTGTGAAAGAAGGGTGTTGTAAGAAAAATGATGGAACCGACAGGGAGTTTGTTTATGACCTTTGTTTATGAATGCAATGAAATTCCTGGAACGAGTCGACCGCACAAAAGTCTGATACTTGTATAGGGACGAATGAGCTCAACCTTCCACGGTGGAAGATGTATTTGACGTGTAATAGACTTTTCCACGTCCTGTGATGGTACCGGATTTGTTGTTGTGTCCTCTGTAATATCGGAAAGTGAACAAGATTACGTTCTGGTGAATTGGAATGGAATAAGAACTATGCAGCTAAATGTGCCCTTATATCAGATTCTCAGAAACAACAACTTAATCCCCCAACATGCAAGTATGTTTTCGAAGTCACAACAACTTCCAATCTATTACAGTTTCAATGGAAGAAAGCTTAGCCTAAACCAAGTCCAAAAAAGATCGGTAAGCTCTGCAGAACCATGTCCGACTCAGCATTGCTATGGCGATTTCATAATTTCCTCTGCCTACATTCTCCTGACCGTCCAAGTTCCCAGGACCCACACATTCGTCCACACCTCTTTCGAAGAAGCTGACAATTTCCGCATGCAAGAACACTTTTAAACTTCCACAATATAGTGCATCGCCAGGCATCATCGTGCATATAAGCACATGATTGAAGCCTAATTAGACTTTGAGTTTGGGGAAAGCTACATACTAAGGCTTTCTGTTGGACCTAATATTTGGCTAAAGTGTTTCCTCCGGTTAGGAGACCACCCCGATAGTTGCAACTTTGGGACTTTTCTACCAGGATCACCCAGTAAAACCCGCATAAATCAGAGGGGGGGGGGGAAAGTTTGACAACTAGCAGCAATTGATGAGGTGTGACGGATCCTATCCATAAATGCTTCAGGACATAATGTCGGTCAAGTTGTTTCTATGTGAGTACAAGACCCAAGTCATAGCATGCATTGCCAAGTGTACAGTATCTAATGTCCACCCGGTGATTGCAATATTTTTGATCACTTGGTAGCCATTGAAGGGATTTGGTTTGGCAGCATCCTTTTTATTACGCAGGAAAGAAAAAAAAAGTGGTGCAGATTGGTGAACTAAGGTCTGCATAATCTTCGCATTCGTCGGCTCAACAACATCACATTAGCCGGGCATGTACCACTCAGACATCCAAGTATGGCACGGGTACCATATATACGACTTTATCTTTGCATGCTTGATAACGAGCAGCGATATCCTGACTTGATTGGACTGCCGTCTTACCAAGTGGACCCTGAGAACACCACATTTATGGCTTAAGTTTGTAGAATATTCGCCGCTCAATTTATATACTCTGTCGCTTGTATACTACATTTTTTATCGCAACTTTATATGATGAGAATGCTTTTGAACAGAACAGTCGATGAAGAGCATATTGAGGTTGTGACATTCAAAATCAGCTTTGAACTACCCACCAAACTAAACTGTATTGATCATTGAGCGGCACTTGTAACTTGTTTGCTTACACACTTTTGGATCGTGTATCGCCTTGAACGTTTAATCCAGACACGCGAGTGGACTGATTTAGAGAGGAGAGCCATTTTAGTATGGAAACCTTGCATATATTACAGTCAATGTTCTCGGTTACTTCTCTGAACAAATAAAGCAGGAATTAGTACTGTCTGCTGGCCTCAAGTTGAAGGAAAGTGACCAACACAGCAAACACTCACAACATGTCCTAATTTGTAATGCTCTAAGCTGGGTTAGCAAAACACAATTTTCTTGTCTCCATGGTGATAAATTCTCAATAAGTTTTGCTAGCTGCAGTTTTTAGTTGTAACTGTTTTTGGGCAATAACGTTTGATTACACGTAAAATAGAACATAGATTATAGCACAGGATTTCCTTCTCATTTGAGATGCTATGCATCGTCAACAAGTCAAAAATTTAGGCAGAGACAAAGCTCCTGAAACCTTGTAAAATTGAGTGCAGTTCTCCTACGCCATACATATAGCAGATTGATTTTTAATGAACATCAACGCAAGATCTCTAATTCAAAAGGCATTTGAAAAACTGGTAAATTGTATCTATGCACCAAGTGCATGTTTTTAACTGAAATTTTGTAAAACTACCCGAACCCAGCCGTGTGTGATGTATTGCTGATCAGTGTGCAAGCGGAAAGCCCTATTAGACAGCCGAGTGTCAGTACACCTGAATAATCAATCACTATATCGTAGTTTTGTAACATTTAACATGAGCCTAGGTAGAACACCGCAGAAATTGGTGAGAGCTGCTGAAGCCTTATGCAGAAAACTAATTATGAGATCTTTAATGTAGATCTCGGAGTTTAAAACGTGTCCTCTAGATTAGATCTGTTCCCTTCAGAAGATGTCAGCTTCGCCATGAACCTCAAAAATTCCTGCTTAACATCTCCTCGATCGTAGGAAGCAATGCGCTTTCGATGATCAATCGTAGGAAGCAATGCGCTTTCGATGATCAAGCATTGCGCTTTACATACAGTCAAGCACATGGTGCGCTCTGTTATAAACATCGTCGCATGACCATGTGTTGACATGATGAGCTGATTGATATACTTCGGTGTTTGAGGTATGAAATTGGATATTTGAGCCAACCAAAGTAGCGCCACAGCTTTTCAATATTTGATATTCAGTGCTCAGTCGAACTGGATAATGGATCCTCAAATAGACATCCTTTTATTGATTTGTTTTGTCATAAACTTCGATCATGATACTCAACATACACATATCGGAGCCGATAGCATACTGTTTGTACCAGTGTGCCTCTGAAATTTCATTGCATCTCCATTCACCCACTGCTAGACGAATAAGCCATATTCTTACGCCATTTTGATGCACTACGGATAGACGCCTACATCAAAACACCTGAATTAAATAGAATCTTGGTCTGATAGTTATAGAACGTGCTGGATAGGCTTGAATTTTCAAGTTTAGGGTGCAACATCGATCAAATCAGATATGATGTGTAGCTCAGCCACAGCTCTTTCTGTTAGTCCATTCAATTAAACGAAAATGCCTATTCATAGACATTGGGAAATCATCTCTATGAAAGGCAATAGGCTCAGGATTGAAGATGAGCGCTTTATTTCTCAAGTCCGGTACTTCATAGCTCTCATGAGCTACATCGACAGCTGTGGAGTTTAATGGATACAAGTACATATTTAAATAGCCGGAGAATATAATACAGTAAAAGAGACAGATAAGTCACAATAATGCCATGGATAGCACACACATTGTAGAAACATGGCTCGTGTTTTCCATTATGTTTGATTCCTCGAACGTTATGTCTGAGCCAATCTGCCCTGTCGCTCAACTCGAGAAGTTACAACGTCCCTTTTCTCCCATCCCAATATCGGGTGCGTTTGAAAATTGGCCATTGGACATGTGACGGGGCAGTGAACAATAGACATTGGTCCCTGATTTTTGGTAGTTTGGTCAGTACTTTGCAATATTCAGGTCTGGTTCATGCGGACAAAAAACACCAGTAATGGGCTGCAATAGTAATAGTTTATACGCCTAACGTAAAGATACTGAGCCGTGACTGTACAATGGTGAAGTCTGCTATTGAAGAGAACACTGAAAAAAGGCAGAAGCACAACAAAAAATCTATAGTTAACAATTATTGTGATTCAGTAACAGTAGGAGTGGCCACACACAACTGACCACTGAATGTCAGTGAACAAATGAAGTCATGCAACGTGGAAACATGTGGAGTGATGTATTCGAACTTTTGAGGTTAGCTTAACATTTTGGACTTGCAATACCTGGATCCATCATACAAATCACTTTGCTGGACATCTATCTTCATGCGGGCTACAAGGACGTCTTAGCAGTTGGAAGTTCTGCATTAACATCAGTGTCGTGTACTTACACTTCAGTGACGCATTCCTCATGAATCATGACTCACATACAACCCCCAAATATTATGCATTATAACTAAGTTAGCTTTACGTATTGTTAGAAGTTGGATATTGTAACTAAGCAATAATTAGGAAGTTGCAAGTCTTTGCATAATCATTATGTGAAAGCGTAGCCCCCTTTTATTTACATGCACGATTCCTCATCCTGGACTCAAATGCTTCAAATTTATACCAACATGACCAAATGTGTCCTTCATTTGTTGATCGGATGTTATAAACAGTTTGGGGGATTACAAGTACTCTAAAAACAAAAAGCATGCATCGATAAACGTTGATAATTTTGAGCTCTAAGACTCCATGAATAGCAGCTTGGATGGTCACCTTTGCTGGGAAGGCCATCAATCCATAACATTCTTGCAGCTCGTACTACTTATGGATGCATTGATAGTTCTGTGCTATCCACGATATCGCATACAGCAAAAGTCTATTAAATCGTTTTCTGCATATGATGGGATGGGCTTGATCACAATTGTCGGTACTAGTCCCGTATATATATGCTATTATTTAATCGAGAGTTTGCAGTTTACGGTTCGGTAAAAATGTATACAGGTAATAAACGACCTACTGCGTTCACCTCGCTGGTGAAGTCAATATCGATCACGCTCAGCTGTTTGTAACGTATTCAAATCAACGGGTCAAGGTGGTGAGCCAACAGCTCAGTACCAAAATAGCATTTATATATATTTCATATCACACTGATTGTATCCTATTTCTCGTTTAGGGCCAATTATACATAAGATGTGCACTCTAGGCTTATGAGACCCTATTTCAATTACGTTTAGACGGACACAATTCTTAGTTAGGTAACTCAATCAAAACCATCGGCTTACAAAGCACGGTGATGTTGAGCAATTTCAATTCCAATAAGGCATACTGCACCGTGTTCAGCAGGATGGTAGCCAATGGTTGCACGCCTCAATAGAAGCATTAACTTTATCATAGGCTGGAGAGTCTCATATACCGTACTTAAAGATAAATGTTTAAGAAGATAAACCGACAAACTACTACTTGCGTCTAGACCTGAACCTCGATACATTTGATTCCTAAACTGCTCACATGTATGTCGTATTCAGTGACAGATGAAAACCTAAAAGTTACAAGTTGGATGTTACGAGTCAAAAGTTACGAATCAAAGGTGAATAGCGGAGCCCACTACCTCTCGCTCAAAAATTCAGATCGTTGAAATACGTTTGCAGCTCAATCTGCCTCACCGGCTACAGTTCTGGGCCAAGCTGCAGTAGTGCTACCAATGAAATATCAAGCCTGGTTGCCAACGTGACTCTACCTGATTGTACAGTATGTCACACATAGTGGCTTTTGTCTAACGGCTGAAAATAATTTTCCAAACCGACAGATTTCTCGAATCACTCCTGGAAACTGCACGGCTGCAAGAATTAGTGTGACTACATATTAAGTCTGGATTGAGGTGTCCCCCAAGCCAAAAGCAATGACAGCTTGGGATCGAGAAATAAGTATCAATGAGTGTTGCTGAAGCACCAGAGGAGTGGGATTCCAATTCTAAACTATACTCAAAGAACTACTGTATGGTATATCATCAGTCACTGGTAAAATGCCGAATGGTATCAAAATGTTCCATCAAAGTACTCAACTACACTAGCACACCTTGTGTGATTAATTGGAGTGTTTGGTTCTCAGTTATAATTAGAAGTTCACGAAAATGTGCTTCTGGAACACTTTAACTCAACAGTAGGAACAGGAGCTGGAATTCCGCGGACATGAAGCACCGTCAGGAGAAATGGTAACAAGCCAATTATAAATTATCACTATCTGGTCAAGGATCAAGGGGAGTGCCCAACTAAAGCAAAGATATCAAACAGTAGCGTTGTTGAACGTGAAGAGCAACCGAGAAACAAACAATATCATATGTGTGTCAATCGAAATAATAACTCCTTTACATAATCAAACATCATTGACTAATGATTTACGAAGGATTACAAGCACAGTCGTATAATTAAGAAGCATTTTTGCGGAATATTCGTCATATATGACCAGGACCTACAGATTTGTGATTGAAATTCATGGTCTATGGACCAAACCTTGTACTTTAGCTCATCAAACGTTCAAGCTTTGATTCGAAAGAAGGCGGTCGGTAGGCGTGCTGAATGAGATTCTAATTAGAGCACACAAAAGACCTAAATATTGTGAACCGTGATTTGTCGGTAATTATGTTGAGGACAGGCAGGAGTAAGGATACTAAGACTTTGCTGCAGGAAGGGAGTTAATGGGTTCTAAAGCAACGGCAAATAGCTAAGACCTCTGGACGTACAAAAGTTCCTGCTCCATTGACGCAATCTACTTGCTCAGTTGCCGTCTGGTACTAATCGTACCAAATAGATTACAAACAACGTCACCAGATAGTCATCAGTCATAGCATAGAAGCGAGAAGTATGGCTGGTAAGCACATCATGTATAACATCCATTACTAGGCGTTATATAAACAAATAGATATCAGTGACCCGCGATCGCCCCGAGTTATTTACGTATGAGCCCTAGTAGTATTTACCAATAAGGCACCTATTAAGCGCATCAGAGTTTACGACTCAAACTCTACACTGAGCACAGGGGACAAGTGTTGCAACGTGTACGTAAATTAGCAGTCAACGTGTTTTGGAATCAACCGAAAGTCCAGCCATAACTTCAATAGCTTTGGTCATAACGTTTGAACACCACACAGGACCGTTATTGTTTAAGATATAATCTGTATGTTCTAATTACTAGCCCGTGAAAAGGTACTTTGGATAGACTCAGCTATTGAGAAGTTTACCATCCACAGATCAAAATAGCGTTTTGTCGCCCGTAACAGGCTGAAGATCTCAACCAGAGTGGATTTCGGGCCCTACAATGTACAGCCACATGCATATAGTGTGAGGATACCATATGCATTGCATAATGCCATAAGCACAGGACGTGCATGATACATACATATGCAACTAACTAAGACAGTATCCAGTAACTCTGGTTACCCTCTACATGCATTAACCAAACTAACTTATAATTCACAATAAACGCTGACTGGCTATAATACCTAATGATTAAAAGATAGGAAAATATCAGGCCTTACTCATGATTCGTAACTATATATGAGTTCCGAAACTCATTTCTATCGCACTCTATTGGACTTGCTATGTTGACAGAACCTCCTTTATCGCTTCGCTCCTGCCTAATCTTCATCAGCTCACCTGGCACTCGGCACTCGGCTGATCAGGATGATCATACTACCACCAGTAAATACAGGGTTTAATATACAGGTATTGTTGCAATATAGCACTGAGTTACGTGGAGGCTTTGATGGACAAAATGGAATGAGCATAATAATACGTCTGTAATAGGCAGCACAGCGTGGCATTGCAATCAGTAGTCGTGATCAATGAAATTACTCATGCAGCGTACCCAATACTTCAGCATATGTCCCAACAATACATTGATTTAGGGATGTCACACTTGAGTAAAGTTATATGCAGAACAGCAAGGTCCAAAATCACCCTTTATAATCACTTAGTAGTGTATTTGAAGTTTGCGAAGCCAATGAGGGTAGCACTTCCAGCTAAGAAATAAGTCCAAGCTTTCTTTTAGATGGTCATCATTGCTTACATTGATTTGTTGTTCTATATTCATTTGATCCAGTAGGATAGTCCATGAGACTCATTGTGGTGAAATAGCTGGTCATTGCAACTTTTTTCTACTTAGTACCGTAACATTTCTGAAGCATGCTTGAAAGAAACACGTAGAAAAAGTGCCTGCCATCCTGAACAACGCCTTGTGGCTTAGGCCATTTCTGTTTTTGTTTCAATAATTGCAAAGAACCACTAGTAGATTCCAGTTTCAGAGCTATCTTGAGAATGGAAGGAGCAAGGTAAATACAGATATCTGTTTTATCATTGAAGAAGTATCATATCATCATCGTCATCATCATCCTTTTTAAAAAAGGGTAGATTCAATAGCTGTGGTGCCGTAGGTCTGTCCTTTGGATCCATTCGGAAGCACTGCTCCATAACTTCAATCACCTGGAGGGTTTCTCTTTTCATCGATTTCGTTTCATCATCATCCAGAGGATTGATCTCTATACGTCCTTTAGAGTTGTAACATCTCAACGTATCAAACATGACACTATCATCTGGTAAAGTCTGTTTTTTCTGCTCGAGTGCCAAAGTCTTGTAAATTATCTCCATAAGGGAATACTTCTTATCCAACGTGTTCAAATTCGTCTCCAAGCCAAGGCCATGAAGACGGGCAGTATGCTTCATCTCACGGACGCCAAATACAGTTGAAAGTTCAACTAAGGCATCTATGTCATCTCTCGAATTGAAAAAGGGGAATCTCCGAGTTAACAGGGTCAAAAGAACCACGCCTGCTGACCAAATATCAATCTTAGTTGTTTGATAAGGACATTTGAACAACACTTCAGGGGCTCTAAAACCACGAGTTCCTGCTCTATTTGCGCGACGACCTGGTCTAGGGTCATTCTTTGGATATCCATCTCGTTGAAGAGTCCCCACAGGCCCACGATTACCGCTTCTGCAAGGACAATAATTCGCATCTTCTGGTGTATGTCTCATATGGGAGACACTTAGACTCAGTTCAGGTTTTTCTTGCTCTGCCAAACCAAAATCTACCAAGACACCTTTCTTTTGGAAAGGATCGTAGAGGAAATTAGTTGGTTTAATGTCCCGATGAATTATTTTCTTTGAGTGTACAAATGATAGCGCCTCAAATAGTTCGGTCATATAACACTTGATACCCTCAAGAGGGATATCTCTGAAGAAGTCTCTAAAATCAGCATGCTGATAGAAAGGAAGTACAGCAATGATTTGGTCTTCATGACGCAATGCTTCCAATAGCGGAGCGACATGGCGGGAGCCCGAGAGGATATAGAGTAAGTTTAACTCGTTAAAGATACGCTGAGGTGACGATGTCACATAAATTCTTTTCAACGCCACATAAAACTTCTTCTTCTTATTCTTGTCGTTTCTCCGCCTCTTCTTAATCTCTGGGGAGTTGTAGACGTTTTCACCCATCAAGTACCGCGTTTCACTCTGCAACGATTCCGCCTTGTACACAGTTGAGAACGTACCCTCGCCAATCTTATCCAAGAGTCGATACTTGGTTTCAAGACCAACAAAACTCTCTTGGATTCGATCCATCTCTTCGATGATCTCCAGAGGCACGTCATCGAATTCAGAGGATGGATGTGTCACTTCACCGGAACCTTGCTTTTCATTTTCATTTTCATTCTCACCTTCCGGATATGGCCTTTGGCTCCCATTCGTCTGGAAAGGCGAGCTAATACGCAGCTGCTTTGAAGCGCTTGTAGAATGATCATTAAACGGATCGTCAAGGTCATTGAATTTATCAGCACCAGTAGCAGTGTTCTTGATATCTCGAAGTACCGACGTCTCCTCCTCTTCGGCTATTTGCTGCAGCTTTCTTTGTAGTTCATTGGCCATCTCTGCTTTACCGCCCTCAAGGAACCCAAGTTTCAGATCAAGACGGTGGTTTTACAAAAGGTAAACAAACACGGTATAAGCATCAAAGGAAGAAGAAGAGGCAAAAAAAAAAACACTCACTTAAACACAAACACTGAAAAAAGAAAAACATTGAAGATCAACGCGCGCGCACGCGTCTGAAATTCCAGTCACTTCCGAGGGGAAGGGCTGTCGACTTCCGAGGACGCGATGACCGTAGCTTTATGAGGTCATCATCTTTGTGGACGGGACAATCTCATGATCATCGGTCTGGGACATCAAGGTGAAGGCCGTACAGAGCTATTGGAGGAGCAGACAATGAGACTTCTAATCGTGGCAGGCAGCATTTTTGCATTGGCAGGTGCTTCTCTGCTTACGGTGTCACTCCAACCTGACGAGACGTCATGCTTCTATGTCTTTGCAGACAAGCCGCAGGTGAATGTTAACTATTACTTTGCTGTTCAAAGCGGTGGATCATTTGATATTGACTACGCTGTTAGAGGGCCTGACAAGAAGGTCATTGCACAGGACGAGAAGCAGCGACAGGGAGAGTGGTCCTTTGTAGCGGACACTGCTGGGGAGTACGAGCTTTGCTTGTCCAATAGGATGTCGACGTTTTCAGAGAAGGTTGTTGATTTCCAGTTCACCACGGACAGCGATGTCCAAGCAGGATTCAACTTTGGCCATTTGGCAGATGAAACCATCAACGAGGTGAGCGAATCAGTGGAGCATATAAGGGACCAGGTGAATCATGTGATGAAATCACTGCAGTACTATCGGACCCGCAGTCATAGAAACCATGCAACGGTGAAATCCACGCTTTCAAGGATATACACCTTCTCCCTCTATGAGATCTTGTTCTGTCTGGGAATGGCTCTGTTGCAAGTTATTGTTGTTGAGCTGTTCTTTAGATTCAGAGTGAAGGATTTTGAAGTATAGCTAGATGTATATTACGATTATGTATTCCTATGCATGTGATCTCTTCTCCAAGATGGCTCTTCCCATCGGAATCTTAGAATGGCCTTTGTCAATGGCAAAGATTGAATTTCCCCTTAGTATAGTTTCCACAACTCTTCCTCTTAGAGTACGACCGTTGTATGCCGTTAGTTTGTTCTTGAAGTAGGTCTTTGCGTTCTCAATGCTTTGTTCTGTGTATGGGTCAAATATGACAATGTCTGCGTCATAACCAACTTTCAAATTACCCTTACGATGGCCAAGTCCAACCTGTTTGGCAGTGTTATAACAGGTCCACGTGACCACGTCAATGATGGAGAACTCTATGAATTTCAACGCCTCTGTGTGCAAGACAGGGAGACCAAGTCCCACAGATGATATACCACCCCATGCGGAGAAGAAGTCTCCTTTTGCCAAATTCTTCAACTCAGGTGTACATGGCGAATGATCAGAGACAACAGTCTTAATGATACCACGTCTCAACGCATCCCATAGTTCCAGTCTGTTCTTTTCTGTACGAATTGGCGGACAACATTTGAAGAAAGTGGAACAGTTTGGAATCTTCTCTGCACAGAACGAGAGATAGTGGAAACACGTTTCAGCAGATATCTTGAGCCCTTGGCTCTGAGCAGCTGCAAGAATCGGAACTGCTTCACCTGAAGCCAAGTGTACAATATGTAAAGGAACAGAAGGGTTCTTCTTAGCACATCCAATCAAGGTCCTTATAGCTTCAACTTCAAAAACGTCAGGACGAGAGGCCAAATACGATGCGTACGCTGTGGGATCAACATTGGCTAAGCTATCTTGATCCCTTTGGGCCTCTAACAGTGGTGATGCTATCTTGTGGTCGTGATGGACTATTTCAGAAGGTGCACCTGTTCTTGGTTCTACAGGGGCCAAGATAGGAGCCACTGCCAACGCTCTGGCCTGGTCATTTGTAAGAACCCTTTTCAACATGTGGTTGTTGATATAATCATTATCAATAGCCTCTTCTAAAGTGGTGTTATTTGACAGGGTTGTCTTCAAACTCGTGGCAGGCATGAGACTGAAACCAAAATCTTCCACTTCGTCTATCCTGTCTAGAGGCTCATACGTTTCCAAGCTTTGAAGCCCATGGTTATTGCATGCCGGCTGCATCTCAGCATGGAACATAATCAGCGTGTCTTCACCTTTGACCTTCTCTAGCGCCTTGTCGATGTAGAACGAGTTGATTGCAGGGAACTCGTCCACACCAGAGTCAATCATAAACCCCTTGAACCCACGAACACCAGCGTTAATGAGCGGAACCAAGTCATCCAAGTTGTCGGGAACTAGACCACCCCAAAACGCAACGTCTACCCAGCACTGTCCCTTAGCAGCGTCCAGTTTGATATTCAAGTTCTTGACATTCGTCGTTGGCGGGATGGCATTGAGAGGCATATCAACAACTGTCGTGACACCTCCCGCAGCGGCGGCTTGCGTACCAGTAGCAAAACCTTCCCATTCGGTACGACCAGGCTCATTCAGGTGAACGTGTGAGTCCACAAGACCCGGCATAACATAGAAAGGTGAAACGTCTCGGTAAGACTTCTCATCAACGTCATATGACTTAAGGATCGGGTCATCCGGTGAGAGAACGCTATGTTCGATGCTGAGAATCTTTCCTGAGGACTGCGAGAACACCACTGTGGCGGGAATCACTTTGTTCCCAATGACAACATGGTTGGACGCCAAAGCTCTTGACATCTCGGCTATCCTTGCGATACTGACAGATGTTATAAGCTCATCGCTGCTATTCCGAATGGGCTCCCGTTTCCCTTTTATATGCGCCGCTAGATAAGAGAAGCTTTGATGCCTATTGGGCCTCCGGAGATGAACACTTTGGGAAATTACGCCGGCGTTCGGACTTCTCCGAGGCACAATGCCACCCTACAGAAACAATGCATAAACGTATACGATCTCTAAAGCATTTTATTCGGCACTGGCATTCCTTCCAGAAAGGCCCTTCCTTTTTCTCTCTCTGTCTCTTGCTTGTACGTGTTTCTCAAGCTTATACCCCGTATCTTTGGACCAGCGATTGGCCATCTGTAACTGTAACAATGAAACGCTCCCAGTCCTGAGCCAATAGGGACTTGTATCCTAACATCAACTTGTGGAAAGACTCTCCGAGGGCTTGTCCAGGTTGTGAGTACATGGCCATGCACTCGAAGAATCTGACGAGCATCTCGCCAGACAGGCCAGCCGGGTTCGAGAGGACAATGAGACACATGCCTTGAAATGCGGTCTCTTTCTCCTCATTCTCCTCCATGTATGTCATTGCTAGAATCCACTGTTCAGCAAACTCTGGGAGATGAACGCCAAAGAACTCCGGATGTCTCATCCCCAGGCGTCCGATGGTGATCGCAGCATTCTCGAGAACTGTGGAGGAAGACTGAGAATTCAACAAATCGATCAAAACGCCGACGAGCTTCTCAAGATGATTGGTGAGATCTAGTCTCAGGGCAATCTCTCCCAGCGACCATGTGGCATTATTACACACTGCGAAGCTATCGTAGGTTCTTGTAACAATCTCCTGTATCGAGAACTCCACAATCTCGTCTAGCCAGTTCTGTAGCATAGGCGATAGATACATAGCCATATCACCTAAGAGTGCATAGGCACTCTGGCGAACGTCATCGTTTGTATCCTTTAACGTCTCCAGAACCAATTTCATCAAAGTATCGTCCATTAAGCCACCACTCATTTCACACAGCCCTTGACACAAGCCATCAATCAAGTCCAGTGACGTGATAATGAAGTCCTTCTCTGGAGTATGGATCGATGGGTCGGTTAAGCTCTTTTGGTCAAGCTCAATACACTGGCTGAGAATTCTAACAGAACGTTGGTACACCTGGACAGCAAATGGTGCAAACCCTTCACCCATAGATGCAGCAACAGATGACAAACACTCCATCAAAGGCCAAAGTTCTTTGTCATCGTCAGGAAGAATCTCCCATTTATGAACAAGTGGCTCCAATAAAGCAGATATCTGTGCAGGCTCTAACTCCACCCTCTCGACAAGAGTCTGAACAGCATCGTACAAAATAACCATATTCTTTTTCTTGTAGAGCACAAAGCAGTTACGGAACATCTCAATCAACTGCGAGGAAATTGGTTGGATGAGAGACTGATCAGCACTGTCGATAAACTGAGCCACAGAACTACATGCACTCTCCTGGACAATCTTCTTCTTATCCAAGGCACATGTGATGATTGCGTGGAACGTTGGTGGGAAATAGTTTGAGTATGCACCACCCTTGTGTGCTTCTGAGCATATCCAAGATGAATAACGCCCAAGAGTCCAGCATGTTATCTGTCTGACACTTGGCTCACTATCACCTAAACGCTCCACAAGGAACGGAACCAAGGCAGGAAGTTGCTGAGATGCAAACTCAATGCCACCTTCAGCTACTGCACCAAATGCCAAAATGGCAGCTTCTCTCAAGGGCCAATGATCCGAAGCGATGTTCTCCTTTAAAATTGGTAAACTTATTTGCAAGACTTGCTGAGGAAGAGCTGAAGCCAAGATGTCAAGTGTGGCAGCACTACATTTTCTCAGATTCCATCCAACGCCAAATCCAATATCGTCATCATCATCTTCATCGTCATCATCATCATCAGCTTTCAACGTATGACTCTGAGCAGTTCTTGACTTGACGTTTGTTGGCTTGATGTCCTCCTCTTTATCCTCATCATCTGCATCATCATTTGTGTCGAGCAAAAGAATATCCATCTCCGAGTACACCATAGATTTCAACAGAACTGGCAAGATCTTTGACAAGAGATCTGTACTCAATCTCTCTGCAAAATCAGAACCTGCTAATGAGAAAAGGAACTCACAGGCCTCCAATTGAACTTCTTCTTCTGTTTCATTTTCGATAGAGTGAAGAGAGTAGTTAATGACTCCTTCCAGATGTGGAGTGAGCTTGTCCGGTCTCGTCTCCAGGATACCAATAAAGGCAGAACAGACGTTTTTTCTAACGTCTTTGTCTTCATCTGTTGCGAGTTGAAACAATCTTCCTAGAAAATCGTCCAAATGAACCAAGAAACCCTGTGTTTGCAATGGAACAAACTGGTTCAAGGAAAACAGTGCATTGGCCCTGACTTTTGGTGATGAGGAAGCTGTAAGTTGGATGAACTGGGGAACCATGAAATCTAATGGTCTCTGTCCGTTGTACTCGGTATCCAATATATGACTGGAATCTTCACAAATCTTCGCCAATGCACCAGTTGCACCTTCTTGTGCCAGAACATCACCATTCTGAGCCAGCTCCAAGAGCTGTGGCAATGCATTAGGCCATTGTTTCACACCTAGAGCGGCAAATATCGTTGTGATGACATTACCTGTGATATTTCTAACCAGCGTGTTCTGTGCTAACAAGCCTTTGAATACGTTTGACAAGAGGTACTCATTATCACCGAGATGGAAATCTCTACGCAGATCATTCTTGAGTGTAACACCGGAGGCTGCTCGAATCTCAGCGGGTGTATCTGATTCTTCCACCAAGATGAACAACAAATAATTGGTGAAATCATCCAATTGTTTACCCTGTGACAGAGCTTCGGTAGCCTGATGACGCACCTGAGCTGAGGCCGACAGCGTTGCTGCAAGCACTTGCTTCAGCTGCGACACAACCTCTGGAGAAGGAACCCACGACATATCGCTTTGGCTAACGGGTGGTAACAAACTGTTGGACCGAAGGTGATGGTTTTTAGGTCTTAATTTTTTTTTTGAAGATGCGATGAGATGCCGTTTTTTTTTTTTTTTTGCTTTGTTTGTTTTTGGTAAACACACACATGTTCTTCGCCACGGTAGGCGCCACACGCTGGAGCATGCTTACGTAACCGGCTTATTATAATGATACCTATTATAATATTATATAATGTGAACAAGTGTAGACCTTACAATAAATGGTTCTTGTAGTAAATAACGTAGAGTTCATGATAATTCCATATGTAATGCCTTCAGCTTTTGACTTAGTTCATCCATCTTGCCGAACGGTAATCTGAACATCTCCTCAACTTGTGGATTAATAGGTATCGTTTCCGGTACCTGTTCATGCAATTTTGGTACCTGAAGTACTTCTAATGAAGAGCTTGCAGTGCTGTCAGACCGAGTACATCCCAGACTAACATTAGAGTTAGAATTCGTTGAGTTCGTGAGCATTGAGAGGTTTTTGGTTTTGGTATTTTTGAGCTCTATAGGTGGAGATAGCCTGTTGTGGTTGTAGTCCGTGGTGATCGTAACGTCTTCTTCCTCTTCGGTTGAACTCCCCGACGCTCTGGTGGTTTCCATTTCCTCATTGATCAGGTCGTCTAGCATTTGCATGCTCTTTGCAATATCCCTGGTTCTCCTCGACTGTGGGATGTTACCACGTCTTTCATAGTCTTCAGGACTGTCAGGCACAGATTTCCGTGCGTATTTATT